ATTTTGATACAGCAGTCATGCAGTGTGCACATGGGCACAGATTAAATAAACAGTCCACAATCTGCCAATGCGACTGTCTCTAATACCCTGGCTGGAATATGAGCACAGTGAGTGGGCCAGTGTGTGTCTGTAGGAGAAAGTAGGCCATGTCTCTCTGTCCCCAGACAGTCCTGTGAGGGCTGCACCTGGCCAGCATAAATGTTGAGTATGTGCCAACCCTGAGAGTCGTTCACCTACAGCCAATCTATGACAGGAAACGCCTCTATTTACATGCTGAGTCACATTTCAAATGATTAATCTATTCAATTATAATTAATGAGCTTTAATATTTCATGTTTAGCTTTGAGACGGAATCAAATGTCATTATAAACATTTTAGAAGAGCACTAGAAAGATATGCAGTTTGATTTCACATTAAGTCAAATGTTATGCAATGTATCCAGTGGACCCCAAGGAGAACAGCCGAGCTCTCCAGGTAAAAGCGGTCTGATTCTAGTTTGTGGTTATTGTATACATGAAGGACTATGTTGTAATGATTATGTGGCCATGTGTTCTATGTTGAAATACTACTGTCAGCAAGACTTGACATGGAGATAGCTGGAAGGTATTCAAACAGCTGTCACTAGGCTGTAAATTATTCTTAGTTTGACTATTTCTAAAACGTTCTGTGATGGCCTGATACTCAATTCACGAACAGAATATCATTTTGTACCATAAGCTGAAAGTAAATACTGCAAACTAAACTTTGTTAATTATGCAAATTGGAAGTTAACGTTAGTTTTGTTAGTTAATGTTAAAGCTGTCTCAAAGACAAAAACAAAAAGGGACTGCAGAGAATGATTGCATAACTTGTTTCTTATTGATTTTAGAAAACATGTAAACGTGTAAAAAAAAATGCATGAGGCGTGGAGCAACCAGTTGCATTATCATTGTGCCATCTGTCGGTTTGGTAAGAGGATGAACACAAACAAAATGTCCTAAAAGCTGAATATGCTGTGCTGAGAAACTGAGGAATTGTATGTGGGGAGACTTCAAAGCTGTGGAGTCAATGTGCTTACCGTGAACCACCCGTTTCATGTCATTGTACCGAGCCCACAAGTAAGACCTCTGGTCCACTGGAGATGCGTTGGAGGTGTATGACCGACTTCTTACACCAGAGACACCCGGAGCACCCGCGGGCTCCTTCGGTCTCTTCTTCTCCGCTATCGTGCATCTGTGAGGAGCCTCGCATGAGGACACATCGCAACCCGGAGGCCTGTCCGAGCTCCCGCTGCAACTTTTTCCGTGGCCATGCTGTCCTCCTCCAAACTTACTGCAAGTTGAAGAAAGTCTGTTCGTTTTGGGGGATCGAACAATTGGAGGAGTCTGGTTCCCTATTGTCCACAGTGTACGGGTCAATGCTGTGCCCACTGTCTTCAGAGACATTTTCACAGCTGCAGTTTAAAAAAAAAAAAAAAAAAAAGGACGATAAAAACCTGCTGCCTCTTCAAGGACATAAAAACATTTATGTTGATTCCCTGTGACCACGCCCTGTTATTTAAACGGGGCGGGGCATTTCTTCGAGTAGCCAATCAAAACTGTCGACCTCACTGACTCTATTTTTCTCTCTTCTTTTGATTTTTTTTTTTTTTTTTTTTTGTTCCAAGTCCCGGAATGTCCCCACATTATCGACTCAATTGACTTGAATGAACAATGTTTTATTTTAGGTTTTTCTGTGTCCTAAGCAGTGGAGTATTTCGTTTCTGAAGCCTACTTTCTGCAAGTTAAGTTTAATGTATTTATTGATATTATATTCTAACACATAGAAAGGGTGGACAGACACTTGCTTTTTCAGTCATATCTGTCAATTTTTTAATCTGCAAAAACTGCCACAGATCATGCTTGTCTGTCTGATATTAGATAGATATCCGGACAACCTTATTGTACACCAAGCTGAATTTTTTTATGAAAATGTGTTAAAACGAGAGCACATGTATCATTGTCTTTTCTTTGATTATAAGGTTTTCTGTATAGACTAATGTTTTATTTCTCTTTTCTTCTCACATGGCACTTATCTGCAAATCAACCTTAGATTAAGGCTCCAACAGTAAGTGTTAAAAATATTATTATTTTAGAGTAGATCAAAGCACCATTTGAATTAAACTACAGGTTATAATATTTGATAGATAAGCAGGTTTCGTTGGGGTATTTTTTCTATTTGATTAATGTGATACATATTTTCAGTTTATGAGGTTTTTCATGCTTACAGCACCAATTTTATTGGGTATTTCATGGATGGAATGAAGCTTGTATAATTAATTGTTGAAAAACTTGACATGGCAACTTCCTTTTATAAAAAGAAGCAATGATATGAGGAGGTTTTTGTTGAGAAGGAAATATTTTAGAGTTAGAGTAAAATAAAGTTTATGATTTAACTCCATCAGAACAAGGTGAGGGATGTGTGGACTGGAACGAGGGAAATCACTGGTTTCAAGGGGAGAGAAAAGCAACATTCTGGCGGCTTGGAGAGGGCTAATGAGCTAAACCTGTTCTTCTTCGACCGGTTTAGTTCAAAGCCTTCAGCTGCCTCAAACAACACCCTTGTCCATCACACCTCCCAGCCTCCATTTCTCCCCCCTCCCCCATGGTAAAGTCTTTGAACTCTGGCCCCGCACCACAGGAGTGCGCTTCTCCCCCTGTGGTGAATTATTCCATCCCCCCCCGACTCTAACAACTGGCCAGGTTAGGGCGCGGTCACACTGGCCAACCGTACCAAACACGATTGTCCCCCCCCCCTCCGCGCCATTCCCCCGCTGGCCCGCGGTCACACTGCACAGGACTATCCGTGCCTAAGCACGACTACCTCTTGTACATGCACGCTTTATGTTATTATGAAGCGAGCTCAGTTTACAAACAGGCGGACGAGAGAGAGAGAGAGAGAGAGAGAGAGAGAGAGAGAGACGCGCAGTCGAGTCCGCGTCTGCACATCGGAGAACAACGCAGACAGCATGACAGCTACTTTGTAAAAACAAATTCTTCCATAAAGTACACAGTAAAAGTACTTCATAGTACAGGTGCATGTAGTCTAGGAAGTACTAAGTCCAACCATATCAGAATTATTTTCTACTTATGGAAGAATTTGTTTTTACAAGACATCAAAGTCAGAAAAAAGACTCATTATAGTGATTTATTATGGACTTTGACAGTGGATTTCTCAAAAAGTACTTAATAGTACCTGTGCATGTAGTCTAAGAAGTACTTAGTCCAACCATATCAGAATCAATGTGTACTTATGTAAGAAAATATTTATAATTATTTTTTTCTCCAAGAAAACTGTTAAAAAAAAAAATTGTGAACACCTTATTTTGAAAAACGGAAGTTACCGCAGACTTGCAGAATTATTCTGCGAAGCTATTCCTTGTAGAGTATTCTGTTTATTCCCGTTTCATATTCTTATATTTCTTATTTTTACAGTCTATGTTTCATACACTTGTATCTCACAGTCAGTTTTAAGGTAAGACCTAGACATTTAGCACTTCACGTCATCGCTCTCTCTGCCTGTTACTGCTGCTCGCTCTGCAGTCTGGAGCATTTACCATAAAGATCAGAATACGTGGGCACTTCAAATTTAGGGGCGGCTCACTTCACCATGCAAACTCGAGGAGCAGCTGGCTTGACCGCAGTTTCCTTTTCACCTTGTACACCTCTGACTTTAGCTCCCTATGTCAATACTGTCCATTTACAACTCTGTTTTTGCACATTTACATTTAAACTTTAATATTTAAGACTAGTAATGTTCATTTAAATCCTGGTTGTATATATTCCCCATTCTTAGTTTTGATGTTTTTAGTGCTTATTTACTTTGTATTTAATATTATATTGTGTTTAAATTTGCTAACATTGTGTTTTTTGCTCATATTATTTGTGTGTTTGGACAACCTGCTGCTGTAACGCCACAATTTCCCAGTTTGGGATCAATAAAATAATTCTATTCTATTCTAAAAGGCTAAAAGATTAATCTTAATAGGTGAGGATTGTGGATGATTTTTTTTAATGTTCAGTAACATTTGTAGCTGGTTTATGGTTGTATTTTTAAAGTATCTATAAAACATGCTGTTCTGTACCATCACTGTGCAGCACTTTATCCCACAACTGTGAACTTTCTCTTCAAAATACTTTGATAGAAATACATTTAAACAGGTACAAACGGCTTGGTGTGGTGTATGTGTAGTGGTTTTGTAATGCCACCTCACAGCAACTTGGTTGTGGGTTTGAATCCCACCTGGAGTTGTGTAGGGCTTGAATGATCCGTTTTCCTCCTACAGATTGTAGATCATTTGGAAATGGAAAACAAATGCACCACAAGGAGGGACATTAGTGTTTTGGTCAGCAATGGAGCCTCATAGCAAGGTTCAAATTTCTGCCAAAGTCTTTCCTCATGAATCATGAATGATTTGAAATCTTAACACTTTTGAGCAAACATAATGTACTGGAAAGTTAATTAACTTAAACAAACTCCTCAAGGTGGTAGTTAACTGTAGCCTCACAGCCAGATGGTTCCCAGTTTGGATCCTGGCTGGAGCCTTCCCATGTGGAGCCAGAGGGTTCTGGCTTTCTCCCACTGAAGCGTTGGCCATGATTTTGAACTTCCCGGACGTACTGGAAAGTACATAAACCCAAAGAAGAACACACTGAGAGTCAGCACAGTGGTGTGTAATGGTTAGCACCGCCACCTCACAGGCAGAAAGTTCACAGTTGTGGTTATTCATCCCCAATTTTCAGGGTGTAACACAAAGTTTTAGTTCTGTAAAGCTTGTAAGGGGCCATAAGCGTAATGGAGTTGTGCTTCAAGTAATTGTGTGATGTTGGCAGTTATATCCTTTCATGGGTCCAAGAACTCCTATTCACACCAACACAAACAGTATCCTGCTTTAAAACTCAGTATTATAAGAACAAAAGCATCTTACTATTCAGCTTAACATCACTAACACTCAGCTTGAATTCATAAAAACACCATCATAGTACAGTGTTGGCTTGTTTTATTCTTCATGATGAAAGTGGTTCACAGGTCAATGAAAGGAACTTGCAAACACATAAGAAGTTGAGGACCATCACGTGTGTTATGCGGAGTGTGTGCATGTCGTCCTCAAGATCAATTTACACAGAATGCAGACCACATAAATAGAAGTTAAAATATTATACAACAGAGGTAATTAAATTAAACACACATCTGCACAGAGTGAATTAAATAGATGAATAAATCCATTTACAACCTTCAAAGCGATACAACATAATGGTAAAGCATTTCCACTTTTCGGCACGAGCGCATGAACAGTCAAACATAATCAGGCCATCTCCCCCTGCAGTCTAAAAAGTGGATGTACCACTTTAAAACCTTACTGTAACATAACACATAGTGTGTGCAATGCATTATGTTCCTAATTACCTGCATGAATTATTCCTGTACTGTAACTCTCCTCACAGTAACAGTTCAGAAAAACAAATCAAAAGTTGACCATTATTTTCAGGGGGAGCCAGCAGTGCAGATTCATTATGAAAGTTCAAACAACTCATGCAAGCTAAAAAGTGAAAACATTTTCCCACAATGAGATACCACCTAATCCAGTGCTAACACTGCATAATGAGTTTCCTCAAACAAATCTTCAAATACATCACAACTACAGTGTCGAATACCTCTGGTTGGAAAATGTGATGCAGCATTAAAACAACAGACAAGATCAAAACCAAGGCACTCAAAACAAAAATAAAAAAAATCAGTCAGCAGGATGCAGCGTCTTCCATTGAGACACTGCTTCTATTGAGCTTTCATTCAGTAATTTCAACATTTAAATCAGTTTCCAAACAGCGTTTTTCCCCAATATGATTGATCTCAACAGGTTCATTTAATTTGAATATAAACTGCATTCAATGAAAGAGGTGTTGTTCAAGTTCCAATGTTAACCTACTCTAAGTGCTGCTATCCTACATACAGAGCCCTGGCATCTACCTACTCTAAAAGCAAACTGTGTTGTATCAACAGATACATGTTCATTTAGTTTCTTTTCTGCAGCTTTGACTAGCTAAGCAATGTCATGTTGGGAGTTAATTGTTCGTTACATTTTGTTCTCTTTAGATTATTAGTTTTTCAAGTCATAACGTGCCGCTAGAGTTAAAGCACTGTGCAATGCTTTTCAAAATGATGGGACAATATTATCATTTAGTTTTTTTCTAAAAGCAGCAACACAAACAGCAGCCTGCTAGCACTATTAGCGTTTCTAAATGTAAACACTGGATAATTTAGCCACAAGGGAAGAAAACTAGCTCTCAGTGGCTAACACTAGTCCATCACGACATGCTTACTTTGATAGCACAAAAAAAGCAAGTTGACATGGAGGGATGAAATACACAACATTGACTTTGTTGCTTGGCTGCCCAAAGGAGCCAGGACAAGCGGAAGCTGAATGAGGCCTGTTATGACGAAGGTTATGTAGTTAGGAGACATGACCATGGCCCTACATTAAAGTTTTAGGCAAACCAAGCCACTTAAATTCTTATTTAATGCGAGACAGTGATTTTGACTCCAACGGCCCCAAAAGTGGGAAAAGTACTTTTTACTGAAAATACGATACTTCAGCAAACGCCAGTTAGCACCGCCCCATGATCTGCAAACCCTCCTGCTTTGACAGATGCTAAACGGCTGTTGCGAAACAGCCACTGAAAACTGCAAATGGCGGTAAGATTCAAAAGCCACCCTGATCCTAAAGAGCAGGAGGTTACAGGCACTGTCTCGACGTGGTCTGCATAGATTGCAAAGTAAAATGCACATTTAAGATCACCCAAATCCTGTATTTGTTTAATCTGCATTTGACCTGAGGTGGTGAATTTATGGCTGATTTATTACCATACATCAAATGGTGTGTTTACTGACCTCGAGTTAAAGGGTGTGGCTGAAGAGCCAGATTCATCACAGGATTATAAAGGGGCGTGAAACTGTGAAAAGGAGGAACCTCAAGACAAAAGCAAGCTCTCTACTCATAGGATTGTAAGTCTGTAAGTAAGGCGGCACTGTTCTATAAAAACAACTACCTGGGTGAGCTATCACAGATGACCTAATTGCTTACTGACACTACAATGCCAGCTACGATGCCAGACAGGCCTGACCAGGGTGCACGCCAGAAGGCAAAAAGAGTAAGATTTGTAGCCTTAAAACACATCATAGCTTTAAATCAAAGTCGGAGGAAAGGAAATGCTGTACATGACAAGTTTCCGGAATAAATACTGTCAATGGTTCACCACAACACAAAGTCTTGAACAAGACCAGATGGAAGTTTGTTCCACTCGGGACAAGACACAGTCAATGACTTCACAGAGGAATGAGCAGCACATTTGTCTCTTCATCCTTCTCCAGGCTGCATGCAGGTTTCTCCGCTCCAAGCAGACAAAAACCAAGAGGGAGGGCGGGATGAGAGAATTTGTTTTTTGTCTTTTTTGTTTTTTTACTTTTAAAAACAATCCATGGATCTGAAGTTATAGTGGGGAATGTTGCATCATATCTGGGATGGACAGGATGTCTTGAGTCAGGAAAAGGAGGAGGAGGGAGCCGGGGAGTCAACATGAAGACAGGTCCTTATGGAGACGAGGGGGTTTGAAGTAATGGAAGGAGCGTTTCAGCGCTACAGAGACAGGGATGAGACAGAGACAAAAATAATAAAATTTAGTCAAACTTAAAGAAATTAATTCATAAGGGTGAGGGTAATTAATAATGATAAAACACATCAATAGTACATATAATGGATCAGCAAATCAGGAGCTCCAAAAAGCTTTCAGGTAAAATGAGATGGGGAAAAAAAGCAAAATATTTAACCAAAGTAAGTAGTAGTTCTAAACTGCCTCTGAACAGAAATAATGCACCTGACTCTTCCAAATATTAAAGAATACCATTTTTAAAAAACAGAATGTATTTGGAAGTATGTCAGCAAAATACAGTTTTTTTTAGTCTGAAACACAAAGCTGCTTTCTGAAAACAGACAAACAGCTCAGATAGAAGTAGCTCAGCTCATATTCTCTAAATCCCTAATGAGATACAACAACAATGCACCTATTGTTACCACTTTATTTATTACCACTGTATTGAATACAGGTTTAGGTCCTTTGTGAGATGGAGAACTCGATAGACAAGTTGCTCCTGGTTAGATGAACACTGAGGGAATCCTCACCAAGAAAAGCTGAGCACATACTGATTCACTAGCAGCAGCTCCGCTCACAGCCTCACCTGTCATCTTTCGCCCACCCAGGAGCATCAGAGAAAGTGCTTTATGGTTTATTAAGAGATTTACTTGTTTTTTTAATCACTGGACTTTGCTTGTTTCTAAGAAAAGTAGACGTCTTTGGATAATTTGGCTCACAGCCTTCAAAATGATGAACATTAAAGGGGTATTTTGAGGCATGCTTTGTACATTTTATTGCCTGAAATGCTCATACTACTCTATATACAAATGTAGAAAATTAAAGTGCAAAGATTGGACTGAAAAAATTTGAAGAGAATCTGGGTTTTGGCTTTCAGAGAGAGCCCTTTTTTAAAACATAATTTATAGATACAAATATCTAATTTTAATACATAATGTAAACCATATGAAAGAATATTTAGAAAGGACCTAAATCTATTGGATACCTCATATCTCAGAAGATCATTCTTATCGTCTGCGAGCTGATTTAGAGTGTGCGCTCCGAGGCCTGGCAGGTGTGCCCTGAGGTTTATTAGCTGAACTCTTACTGACATTAATTTGTGATTCCTCAGTTGCTCGGCTTGTCGAGTTGGCTATCCTACGCCTCGACTCTCTACAGATTCCACTCATCCTGGTCTTGCTAGGTGGATTGTTGACATAAGGTGAAGTGGTTGCTGGGGCCCCTGTAGGTTTAGTATTCACCTGAGAAGAGACAGCATCTGGCTGAAATGTGTTCCTGCACTCAGCTGCTGTTTGAACAGAATTAGACCTGTAACTTAACTGTTTTCTTCTAACTGAATGATCTGTGTTGGTTTTAAGTCAGGCGTTTGTTTAGTTTCACCCCATGCTTCAGATGCGTTAGGACACACACGCAAAGCTTTAGAAGAGATTAGATCATCTGTGGATGCGGTAAACAAAGAAGACTTGACCCTGGAGGATGAGGCAGGAACAACACGGGTTGTTATGAAGGTGTCCTGACGTGCAGGGACCGAAGCTCTCCGAGCTGACGCACCTTTTTTTGAAACACTGACTTGAGTTTCAGTTTTGACGGATAACTCGCTGTTAAGAGAACTGTTGGAGCTGTAACGTGTCGAGAAGTAACCAGGGCTTGAATCTGAGTTAAAAACATCACTGACACTATGACTCCTAATGAAGGTGGCGTCTCGTGGGAGACCTTTCCTTCTGATAGACTGACTGCTTGCCTGGATGGTGTCGTCGGGACAAGGACAGAGAGCGGTTCTTACGGGGCTCGTGTGGAGGCTTCTGGTCAGACTCCTCAGGTGGTGCGTGGCCATGGCCGGAACGCTGCTGCCAAGAACCGGGCTGGCTCGTGGACTGCTCCTCAGTGTGGGGCGTGCAGGACTGCTTCTAGGGCTGCGTGGGGCCCGGCCTGACTTGGCAGCCAGTTCTTTGGCGCGGGAGCGGCGGGGACTGCTGTTCAAGCTGTGGGGTGACATTGGGGCCTCCAGGTCCTCCAAGCGCTGAGTGAGAGCCAACTTCTGCTGTATGGCCATACGCAGCAGAGAATTCAGTGTCTTCTTCTCATCCTCGGCCGCTGCCAGCTGCCTCTGCATCTCATCCAACTGGGTGACATACTGGTCACACCTGAGAGATGCACACACAATGAAAAGAGCATGCACACGCACGCAGGAAGCAATTAAAGCCTAAAACACACAAAACACATGCTAAACAAGGATCATAACACCAGCTGTGGCAAAGCAGCTAAAGATTCTTTCATTGCTAAATGTAGCAGGGGTTTTAATTAATAAATTAAAATGTTACACCTATAAATAATAATCAAAAGTAAAATCACCAGTTACAAAGCAGAAATTATGCTAAATTGTTTAACGTACTTTAATATAAAACAAAGACAGCCTGAAATTGTTTACGTTTGAGAAGTTTGTGTCCAGAGAACATTTATTTGTTAACTAGCATAAGAACTCATACTTAATAAAACAAATTTCAAGCGAATAAAAAAAGGTGCTTCAGGTTTATCATGCAGTCCCTCAAACTGTCCACTCGATGGCACCACAAATCTTAATTCCAAACAACAGGAGCATTTTAAGCTGTAATCTTTAGCCTGGTGCAACAGACTGTGGTAGTCCTTGACCACAGTCTGTTCTCCAATCCTTCTTAAGGATTATGAAATCTGGATCATAACTGTCTGGAGAGGGCCTAAACCGGTTATGCACATTCAATAAGCTTCTGTGGCAAATGCAAATATTATTAAAAATAATAATCCGTTAAATAGATTAGAAAGAAAACAAGGAACTAGAACACAAATTGTTAAGCATCAATGCCATACAAAAACACTGCTCCAAACAGTCATCCATGCCAACTGTTTCTAAGAAGAGGTTAGTGATTAGTGGTTGGAGTGCTAAGGTGTAAGTTTAACCCTTTGTAGCACCTTCCCATCCTGTCTAAAGTCCCGCCAAACTCCCGCCAACATTAGGCCTCTCCGTCCCTAAGGTCACCTGGCTTGATGAGACAAATCTGTCCTTCCCTCCTCCTCCCCTGTCGGCACAGGGCAGAGCATGTGGTTCATAATCTGCACGTGAACCAGTGGATTGTCCACAGGCGTAATACGCGTGATAAGCTTATTACAAGACTGGTAACAAAAAGAAATGCCACAACAAGAGCACCATTACGAAGCAGAAAGGACACTAGCAAAGGGGGAATGTCCAATCAGAACGTCTTAACATGTTTCGCTTCAAAGGATCTTTTATTTCTTCTATGAAAATGTGCTTTTTTTCTCTCCCTCGGATGAAAAAAAAAAAAAAAAAAAAAGAGATCTTACCGACTGGCAAACATGACTCGCAGTGACGAAAAGGTAGCAGCATCCTCCTTCAAGGCTTTGAGCTCGTTCCGCAGTTTCATCATGGTCTCTGACACCATGCTCTTCTCCGTCTCATACTTGGTTTTTAAATTGGACAGAGCCAACTCTGCAGTCTGAATTGAACACAAAAGACAAGAGCTCCATCATTCACCTTTCTGAATCAGTATAAAATGAATATCATCAAGAAAGATCTGAAAGGAATGGACATAATATGCTCATAATACTTCAAACATTTTTTTTAAATGAAACAAAATCATACCAACAGAGAACCAAATCCATCATACATGTCACATTTTAGCTCTTCCATGTGACTGCACAAGGCCTGTTTGTCTTAAAAGAGAATGTCAATGAAAAAAAAACATTGCTTTGATAACCAACACAGTGTGAAAACAGGACTGTGTGTGTGTGTGTGTTTCTGTTTAAGTGCATACAGCTGAAGGCCTTATCACAACTCCCTCTCACCTTGTTGATATGTGGGACATGAATGCACTTTTCAGTGCAATAGTAACACATGTCAAACCTAGTGGGGAGGCCAATATACTCGTGGAAGCCTTGAGGAGGGAAATCACTGTAGTTGAGCACAGCCGAGCCAAACAGATTACCTTGAGTGTATAAGTGGAGGTGTGCTTGTGTGTGAATGAGAGTGCGAGATAAGGGGACGACAGAAGCAGGTCATGCAGTGCTGGAGGCACCGGACAGAGGAGAGGAAGGAGAGTTAAGCTTCTGAGAAGAGCAAAAGCACTGTACTAAAGGTGCAGGGGCATGTGAGCCCATGGACTGTCTAGACAAGACACTGACTGTATACAGTAGGTCATCTGCACTGCATGTGTCAACTCTAAGAATGGATGGTGAATGTTAATTGTCATTAATTGTCTTAATCAGTACAGAGACTTTAAAGTCAGCCTGCTAACTCATACTGCACAAAGCACTTAGACACAGCATTATATTTGAACACTTCTTCAATATTTACTTTAAGAACCTGGTATCTGCTTTAATGCATCTCTATTCTGCCTTCTTTTCTGTTCTGAGTAAGAGCAACATCCTACACTGGAATACTAACCTGTTACTAAATCAAAGCTGTGGTTAAGACAGCGTAAACATCGTGGGTTAGCCAGCGCTCACAGTGATGTACCTGTTTGTTAGCCTTGAGGACCGTCCTGAGCGTCGCTATCTGTTCTCTCTTGGTGCTGAGAAGGGACTTGAGTTTTAGCACTTCTTCCAGGAGGCTTTCAGCATCCCGCTCTGACTCTCCACTGCTGCTCAACCCGGAGTAAGGCATCGCGCCCCTCTGACGACAGAGGTCCACTGCCACCTGAGAGAGCACAAAGACAAGTAGTTTGTAACAGAACAGAAATATGGTATAGATAAACTTTGTTATGACCAATGTATGAAACCAAACAATCTCTTACAAATATTAACCTCAGATTTCTCAAACCTTTAAATGTGTTTAAAACCATGATTTTTACTCAGTAAAACCTAATGTTCAGTGTTCCAGGCACAGCTGTTTTCTAAAATTATTCTCTGTAGTGAAAGGCCCAACTTTTGACCCTTGATAATCCAATCCATTCAAACTAACACACAAACACACGTGTCTACAAGGTCCACTCAGGTGTTGGATTTGAGCAGACACGGGAGCTATTCAAGTCCATTAAAGAGTCTGAGCTGTGCATTAGCTTCATCCGGAAATTTGTGAAGGAGGAATGAAGCCTTCAACTAAAAACGAAGCCCAGGGTGTCAGCACTGTCACAGTCAAATGACAATCTTTATTTGTTACATTTTCAGTTCAACAGAAATCAAGCTGTAAGCACTCAAATCAATGTCTGACAAACTGTGAGTGATACAAAAAAAATGCTGCCTTACCCGGAGGTGTTTTATCTGGCAGCGGATGACAGCAACCAAGTTGCGAACATTAGAGGGGTCCCTGAAATCCAGGGTGGGTGATCCAGGGCAGCTTGGAGATTCTGTGCTGGTTCCTGCACTGTCCACCTCACCCATAAACTGCAGCGCTGCAGCTTTAGAGTTGAACATCTCATTGGCTTTTGGCTTCTTCTGGGCGCTGTGCTGAGGGTATACGTAGTGAGATCTTCGAGCACTACCTCCTCCACCACTTGCCCTGGCACCATCACGGTAATAGTCCAGGGTGACTCGTTTGGGTGTCAGATTGTTGCACACACAGATGTGGTGATAGAGGTTGGACAGCTCCTCAGAGAAGGCCAGCAGCTCCTCCTGGGCAACACTCAAGTGCCCCTCTGAATCAATTGCCACTTTCCGTGTGGCTCCGATCTCCTTCTCCAGGTCTCCGATGCGCTCCTGGTCCTGCTTGCTGGACTTGATGCACTGACGGATCTTGTCGGCCAACTCCTGGGCCTCTGCCCTCCAACGATCCTTCTCCTGCTTGTATCGCTGCTCCAGGGTGTTGTATCTCGTTCCTGCTTGCGACAATTCATCTCGCAGCTTCAGAAGCTCCTCGCTGGCTGAACGCATGCGCGCCTCCAGCACCTCCTTGCTCTTGGTGTCTACCTCATAGTCAAAGCCTGCATTGTCTCCATTCTCCGTCTCGTCATCATCCCTGTCGTCTGCCTCTTGGTTGTGTTGCTGGCTTCTCTGCACAGTTTCTAGTTGCTGGGTGAGAGATCCAACCTTGTCCTCCTGCTGGCTGAGTGCCTGTTTGGACATTACAAGCTGCATCTGCAGTTCCTCTACCTTGCTTGTCAGACCGGACTTTTCGCGTTCCGCCTGTTTAGGCACAAATAAACAGATGAAAATATTGCAAGAAATAAAAACACTTTTTAATTTTGATGAAACTACTTAAAAAGTCCACCAGTTAAATAAAGAATCCATTAAAAATCTAGGCTAGCCCAACACTCAGTATTGATCATTTTCATAAAACAAAAAGGACAGCTTCCTGTGACAAAAAAAGCCAGTTTTATATTTTATAAATTTTTTATGGGGATGACCCCTTTCAGCTCCAGACTCCCAACATCTGTTGGGTAGAAGCTTGTTCACCCAACCCCCGATCAAAGTGCATCATAAATAATAGATTGACTCCAGACAGAGAGGAATGGCAGTTCAAGACATTTTTAATTTTCTTAAATATACTTGACTTGAGAAAGATAACTGTATCAGGTGGGAGTTGACTACATTTCCTAGTGAAGTATAAGATGCAATGTGGTGTCAGGTGTTGTTTTTTTTATTAATAAGACAGGCACACTCCAACATGCAGCGGATGTGGTCTAAAGCAGGAAGGAACAGATACATCAAAGACATACACCAGTTTCAACACACAAACCAACCTGTATGACAACCTTCCAACTTTGTTTAATAAAAGGGTGGACTATTTAAATAGCTGTATAAATATAAATGCAGTTTACTGAAAAATGTAATGAAAAATACACTGTGTTCTTTCAAGTGTTTGCGTAAGTGAAGAGGCTATCATTGTGTTCTAATAAAATGCCATTAGAGTTATGTCATTCATTACATGACCTATGATGAATTATAATTCTGCTACTCTGCTGGTAAAATGTAAAAGTAGGATCTCTTCACCTCCCACTTTGGCTAAAATATCTGCCATCAAAAATGAACCTGCTTGAACTATGAAACTTAAAATGCATGAACATATTTTTAAACTGCACAAGTCTTCTGTAAAGTTTGAGTAGTGTTATATGTAAAAAATGTGCTGGGCCTGAAATATTGATCTAAGTTGCAGTTATAACTAATAACTTATTTTTAATGGAATGATTTTTTGCTTCTTTTTTTCCCACTCAAACTGTAATCGAGACTTCCTATAAAGAGAGCAGACTGCCAAGAAACTTGCTGAGAAACTCCAGAAAACAAGGATACAAAAGCTTTTGGTGTTTCCACATAAGCACACAATTCCTGAAATGTTTGGGGATGAGCTGCATGTGAATGAAAACGGCCACATTTTTCACTCCGACTCTACAAAGAATTTTGTAGCCAACCCAAATTTTCCCCAATACGTTGTGGGATGAGCCAATGTGAGAACACAGCAGGTTAGATTCAGTCAGATTCACAGTGAGGGAGCTGGAGGGGATGATTACATTTATACTTTGCGATCGGTGCAATCTCTGTGCACGTGATGAAACGGCTTCATTATGTTTACTGTTCCCCGGTATGTTCTTTTCTGATCTTATGTTGATGTGAATATGTCAAACTATACCTCACATTCATATAAAGGAGAAACATAGGGGCATGTGTGAACAAGCATTACAGATGTTTCTCAGGGGCAGCTTACATGAACATTTTCTAGACATTTCAAAAAGTTCATACGTTAAAATAGTTTAGTCATTTTTGAACCTGTTAAAGAAGGTCCTGTTGTTTCTTACCTGTAGGAGTTGCTGCTTTAGTTTCTGACTGTCTGAAAAGTGCAGCTCACTAAGCAGGTCCGACACCAGCCCGGAGGCTGGAGCACGCAGAAACACGTCACTGTTGCGTGGAGTGGAGAAGCGATGGATGAGGCCGTTACTTTTTGAGCCCCCCAAGTGAGGAGGGTGAGCAGAACCGGGAGCAGACCCAGGACCATTATTAATGCCACTGTCCTGGTCCTCTCCCTCACCTTCTCCCTCTCCCCCCTGGCCCTCCTCCTGGCTGTCATCCAGCTGCTCAAGGTGGAGTTCCAGGTTCCCCACAGAATCAAAGGGGTTTAGGGTCAGGGCAGAGAGTTCCCTTCGTAGATTGTTCTTCTGCTCCCTCTCCTCCTTCAGGGCTTCCAGGGCCTCATCCAGCTGCCTCTCTGCTATCTCCCTCAGCCTCTCCGCCTCCTCCATCTGACCACGCAGCTCCTCTTGCTCCTCGTTCTTCTGCGTCAGTTCCAACTTTATTGATTCAAACTCAACCTGGAATGAGACATGGAGCGCAAACAGACGTCTGTGATTAGAGGTTTTTCTATGTTGCTGTGTGCCAACATATGGGTGCACATTCTCGCCCCAACATGCAAATATATCTATAACCACATTCAGCACAATAGTGTTACAGTCACACACGCAGATGGCTTCATGATGGTGAACAGCAGTTCTCATTTCTATTACAGATAGAAATGTCCATTTAACTCCACTGGGCTTGAGTTTAATTCAATTAGATTTTTAACATTTGACACTGCCATGCAGTTGGCTCATTTACTTGTAACTTGTCAAACCATTTTTTTCCCCATAACTACATAGTATAACAACCCACATAAATACTGTAAATCCTTTATATTGCAGAACACTTTCACAGAGTCTTCCCAGTCTGTGTGCTGGGTAAATGTTAAAAACTGCAGTCATACTGGGAATTCACTGACAAGTGAATAAGTACTCAAGATTAGAAGAGCTGTTGTCCATGGATGTGGCAGGGACATCGTTTTCCATAAACAACAACATGAATCATCTAGAAACTGGCTAGGCCAGTCTCTTAAGCTTTGGCCTATTCGTATCTCGGTGGTGAAGTTATGTCAACAGACATGTGAGGGAGATTAGTTGTTGTTGCATGCCAAGCAGTTTTGCACTCATGCAGGAAAAGAACGAATGCAAACATGCATGATCAGATGCACTACAAGAATGATAAGATAATAGCGTGTTTACAACACCCACCTGTATTTCATAATCAATAATAGTATGAGGACAAATGTATAGAATATTAGAATGTAATTGTTATGATTTTATTAATAGAGATATTTAAATAAGTATTTTTACATGTATTGTACATGCATTCATCCACCCATCATTTTCTTATCAAAGCAAGAAGGTAAAAATTAAAAACATAGTTGTAGTTTGAGTATTAACTTACCTGGTTTTCCTTGAGCACAGACACCTGTTTTTGCAGAGATATATTTTCCTCCTCCAGCTCAGCATTGTCCTGCAACTGGCGCATCTCACGTACTTTAAATTCCTTCATCTCATCCCTCATATGACCTTTTTCTGCATCCAGACACTCACACTCCTGTGGGAAAAAAAAACCCATTGTCATATCAGTGCAAAGATCAAGTTTTAAAATGCACAATTCATATTTTTGTGTCATGTACACATTGGGGCCAAAGTAGCCCAGTCTGTAGGGACCTGGTTTGGGAACCGAGTACTGTAGAGGTACCCTTGACCAAACAGCCAACAGCTCTGACGCGCTCCCTGTGTAGCAGCCCCGCTCCCTGACGAAGGCCACAAACCGAAACGCATCAGTCTAATTTGTTAATAAAGTTGATCTTCGTACTACAAGTGTTGGAGCTTTTTGACCTCTAGCAGGCCCACTCTGACATCTCTCCATTAATGCATGGCCATAGAATCAGTATTTCAGGCCTATGTGTCCAAGTAGCATGTTTCTCAATAACAGATTGTAACCCAGAATTTCCCCTCAAGGATTAATAATTTATTAAAATCACTATTGGTTCAGGTTTCCATCCAATGTATGAACAAAGGGGAGCTGATAGAACAAGAGGATGAAGGTGTACTGAGGGAATGGCCCTAACCTTTTTTAGCTGGGTGGAGAACACCCCCAGTCTATCGATCTCTGCGTGAGCATTGCCAAGAGCAAGGCGTGCTTGCTTGAGCTCCGCCTGGACTTCCTCTATGCGGGTTGCCATGGCAGCCTCCTTAGTGGCAGTCTCCTGCAGCAAATTCTCCTCCCGGCACTCTCCATCCGCAGCTGCACGCTTTTGGCTGCTCACAGAATCTGCAAATGCCTTTTAAAAAAACAAAAAGGGGTCAGACAGGGTGAGAGTTGATCTATCTAACACCAAAGGATGGAAAACATAGGAGATAACATAGGAAGCCTTGTGGTGCTGAAAGACAGTTATATTGGTGATTTAATATTTATAAGAAGAAAAAAATGTAGACATCTCTAACAAAGAAACGGAACTGACAACCATCGCATTAAAAAACGAGATACCTTGGATATTAAAAGCAACTTTCACTCAGTTTCCTGCTGTATTTGTATCTTGTCTATGCCATTATATAGATATGACACAGTCATACCAGGCATATTTAACAGCTGGCCAGATTCAGTAACCTTAACACATTACTTTATGCGTCACTGATTTCTGATGAAAGACCTACAACATTCTAATAAACATGCTCTACTAAACATCCTGATGTGCTTATATAATGATGCTAATTCAAAACACGAGTCCGCTCTACTTTATCAAAGCCTGGGTAGGTACCGCCAAGAAATTAGGTTTATGCAGATTATGAATTGCTGACATTCTGTACCACTATGTCCCTTCAGGGACATAAAGAGCTTTGCTAGACATGCGGTTACAAAACATCAGCATGGACCGATATTAGTGTAACTCTGGCACGTATTTTTTGGCTAAATACCAAACTCCTTGTAGGCAGTTTCTCTCGATTTGGACAGGTGGGTTGAATAATTGCAAAACCAAAAATCTGTCTACTTGAGAGGATGGAATTTTATGGGATTTTCTTCTTACATAAATCGGTTTTAGAAAGCCTGTTTCAGCAATACTAAACACATTCAGGCCTATCTGGTGCTTTGTTTCAAATGTACAACATCAACCAATCACACACCAGCCATCGAAGACTATTTTAATGAAATAAGTTGCAAGTGTAAAGTTTTTTTAAGAACAAAGGCTAAGGGCACAGATGGCCCAGCGGTTAGATCGCACCCCATGTACAGAGATTTTTGTCCTCTAAGCTTGTTACTCCTCACTCTCTCTCTGTCTCTCTCTCTCCTTGATTTCCTACTCTGCCCTCTCCAAATAAAGGCAAAAATAATCCCCCAAAAAGTTCTAAACAAATAGAAAAATAACAAAAGGTTATTACAAGCATCTGTTACAGTTTTAATTCTGTAAAAGCATGGATTATGTGTTAATCTGATTTTTGACATATTGTTTTAATCTTTTTATCTTGATTATCTGGTGCTAACCCAATTCAATCCTATGGCTTTGCAGTTATATATCAAAACCAGTGAAGACGAATGTAGAGTATTTGATACATCAAAAACACTGGATATGTTGACAAATTGGCTGTGGAGATTGTATTTATCACAAAAACAGTCTTCTCCTTCTAATGCCGTCAGCATCAGATGACACGAAAGCAGAACTGACTCATCATCAGAGACTCAATCCTTTTCATTGACAAAATAATATGAGGGCACACCTGGGGCAGAGCTGTATTTCTGGCAGAAAATGATTGTTTGTGAACAATGAAATTCAGGTCACAGCTCACTGGTACATATTGGGACACATTAACGAGGTATCTTTTCAGAAGCTTGTATACACGACAGGAAGCACCTTAGATGTTTAATGTTTTTTTAAGCAATGATTGACAAGCTACATCTCAGATTTAAGTAACTAAACTTTGACTGTATTTTGTCAACAGTGTCATGAGAAAACTAATTTTCTACACTAGTATTTTTTAAATTTATAATTCAGGTATAACAATTAAAAGGCATGATATAACTAACATTGTTTTTTTTTTTTATAACTTAATGCTGTAGGCTTTTATTCCTCACAAATAAATAGATACACTTTAAGGAGGAAAATATTCTTCCAGAAATATTCTTTGAAAACTGACTAAGCAAGCTGGTTTAGGTCTAACTAATCAAAGATTAAAAATAAGAAAATACATTATTAAAATGATAATTTGTCATTCAAGGCAGTGATTTTGATATTTACTGTAATGATTTTCTCAGTTTCTACTGTTATTTCAATACACAAGATTCAGTTTGATAGAAAGACAGGCAAGAGTATTTAAGAAGACCTGAAATCTAATAAGTACTGAACAAAAAAAAAAGTGTATTAGTAATTAAGTATAACAAGAAGGCCTCAGGTGTTTCTACCTCTCTGAGCTGCTGAAGCTCAACTTTCAGGATTTCATGCTCCTCTTCCAGCTGCCTGTGTTTCTTCTTGAGGGCAGCACTTTCCTCCAGCACTACAAGGCCATAGCGGGCTGCCTGTAGCTTCTCCTCTGTGGCCTCCTGGAGCTCCAGAGTCAGCCTCGCCACCTCACACCTCATGTCTCCGCTCCCCATTTCTGCCTCCGCTTCTCCCTCTGCTGCTACTTGACCTGCTGGGTCTGCATCTGCCTCCAGCATCCTTGCTTGGCCTCCCACTGGTATGCCAATGCTCTACTGGGACACCTGCCTCCTTCACTCCCCCAGTCTCATTACTCCAGACTACAAAAGGCAAAGCACAAAGACGGAGGTTATGTAAAGTACTAAGAACATTGGTATGAGTAGGAAAGGGGTTTTGTTTAAACCATACTGTATTAACAATTGAGCAAACAGCAAATAAAAAGACCAACGTTGGGCTTGGTTGAGTAAGAGAACACTTCCACTCAAAAGGTACAATGGTAAAAAGAAAAAAAAGAAAAGCAAAGTACACAACATTAGGGTTTTTTCTTTCCAATTGCTATTTTAATGTCCTTCCCCAAACACAAATATTTGTCTTAGTTATCCATGGGTTTTTAATACAGCCTTGTTGCCTTTAGATTTGATGTATTTAAACGGACCGATGGATCATTTATATTTTGCAGCACACTGGACTACATCTTCTCAATATCGTGAGTCATGACTGATTTCATTCTACGTGTATGGGTCAATAAAAAATAGAAAAACATTAAGTTACTTCACTTAAGTAAAGCATTTAAATCAGTACTTTTTTATCAAAACTTTTGATCAAAAAATGTTGCACAAGTATCAAAACTTCTTGACAAAAGAATATGTGTACTTTTTTCATCTATGCCAAATAAATGGCCCCTAGACAATTCAGACTATAAACCATCTATTCATGCTAAAGTTTGAATAGTGTATAATCCATGAACACCTTTAAGCCATGTCAACTATATAATACAATGTATTTACAATATAAAGACAACTTTAATGCTAAATGGCATCTTCTAATAAGGCTCTTAGAAGCTAATTGTATTTAGGATAGGATAGGATAGGATAAAACTTTATTGATCCCCAGAGGGGAAATTCGGGCGTTACAGCAGCACAGACAAGAAAGCTCCAAATACACATTAAACAGAATAGATAAGATAAATAAAAATAAAAACAGGGGGTATATACAGTACAAAAAGAATGATGAAGTTAACTGGTGGGGAATTGAGAATTGAGACAGTATTTGCAGAGAATGACAAGATAAAGTGATGATTAAAGTGACTTGGTATGATAAAATAGCAGCAAGTTATGTAAAACAGCAGAGAAGAGAGGCAGTGTTGTACCACAGTAATGCAGAGTGCAGTTATATAATATAATGTAGTATAATATAATATAATATAATATAATATAGTGCAATATGAACAATATAGTGTAATATAATGAAATGTTATATGATATAGACCAGGGATGGGCAACTTTGGTGACAGCAAGGGCCACATTCATTTAATTCTCACCGCCAGAGGGGCCAAATTAAACGATTATAGTCAATTATGTCTCAAATTTAACTCAACATATACCAGTGATCAATTATTATTATGGACATATTTCTGGTTCTCATGATTTCATGGCAGACTTTGTCATGTTTCCAATTAATTGATGTGTAAAAAATTAACCTGAGGGCCACGTTGAGGGTTGATGGGGGCCGCATGTAGACACTGCCATGCAGTTGGCCCACCCCTGATATATACTAATATAATAAAAATATATAGAATGTACAGGATATATGTATATATATATTGATGCTAACTAATAATAACAATAATAATGCAGTATAATAATACAATGTTAGTAATGATAATACAGAAGCAGGTCATGTTGGTAGTGTTTTATGGGGGTGAAGTTTTGTGTCAAAGATCATCAGTTGCGATTAAAAAGATAATTTAAAAATACTTTTTTAACCTACTGCAATTGCACTTTATAACGACTCGCCTTTAAGTAAGGACAGAAGACATTTAAACTTTTAAACTTGAGCTGCATATGTTAAATATCAAACTGTATTGTGGGCTCATGTTTTTTTTGTGTGTGTGTGTATGGGTGGGATGTGCATATATATATGTGTTGTGTTGTGTGTTTGTATGTATGCTGGCTGCTGGAACACCTAAATTTCCCTGCTGGGATGAATAAAGTACATCTTATCTTATTACTATTAAAGTATAATGTAAGGCAGGCCTGACCCTCCACAGACCTTAATGCTCTTCAGCATCACTAGATGTAGTAACTAAGAGATATGCCAGCTGTTAGAAATGTGGCATACCCCCACTGTCCTCTATTCAAGCATGCTAACAATACTGGGTCGACCAGGGTGGGGCAGAGGTCCCCCCCCCACCCCACACACTTCCTTATGTCTCCTTCTTTTAACCCACCATCCTCCGGTTATCCGGTGTCCAGTGATGTAGCAGCAAGTGAGAAATCTGTTTCCTCTGCAGACAAAGTTATCAAAGCATCACTAAAGGATGAATTAAAGAGTTAACCTTGAGTATTTTTTTGGCAGCTTCCCGTGTTTAAAGAATAACTTGAGGTTGGTGATTCTAGCAGGTGGATATATTCTGACATGGGGACAAAACCGGACACGACACCGGCACTGTGTGTGAACAGGACATGGCCGGACAGCTAGCTTAATTTTTTTATTTTTTTTTAGCCTTATGTAGGAAGCGATTTAAACCACAAAAGCCTGAAGAAGCGTCGAGTTGAAGAAATGTAACAACGCTAGCTTTGTAATTAGCTTCATTTACAGAGGCTTAGCGGGACAGACGGCATCGTTTTACTCGACATACGGGGTTTTTTTGTTTCTTCCTCCGTCGTATGCTAATTAGCAAAAGCGCTCGATTAGCCACCTTAGCTACTCACCCTTCTGGTTTCGTTTTCCAAAAATAAAAAAAAGATGGGAGATCTCCAGCGGCGAGAGAAACAAGTGCAGAGTGTTAGGGAACTGTCAGAGGCGAAACGATAGTAGCCCAGGAGGTACCAGCCCAGGTTGCTGAACAGCCGCTTTCCCCTTCCTCCTCCCTCCGGGTTCTCTGGTTTCAGTGACGTCAGCGTCAAAAGCGCGCCGAAAAAAAAAAAACGTGACAGCACGTTCACCCCCTCTGGCTAGTCAACGGCGCACTGCAACTACACCGATAAAACCGCCAATATCCTCGGTAATTGCGGCCATGAGGTCATACGCCGCCGACTCAGATAGAGAAATTAACCAGTAATGCCACGAACACGACCGTTTCACGTCACCAAAAACAACTTTAAATAGTGAAAGAACGACGAAAGATAAAGTGAAGGGAATGCACTTCCGCTCGTACTCTTCCAGACTTCCGTTTTACTTCCTGGTGTGGGAGCTTCTTTTTTTTTTCCCCTCACGGCGGTGGCGTCTCTTTACTTTGCCAAACAACTGTAGTTTTTTTTTTATTTATTTATTTATTCTATAATGAAGATCGTGACTTGGAACATAAATGGCATACGGACCTTCAGAGGCGGTATTAAAAAGGCTCTGGATTCTCTGGACGCGGATATTATCTGTGTGCAAGAGACAAAAGTGACAAGTAAGTGTTTATACCACGCGTGATGTGTCATGTATCATGTTATTGTAGCCTAAGCTGAGTATTTACAGTCTGTGCATGTAACTTACAGAACATTTCTCATGTCTGTGCTTTCTTTTTTGGGTTTGTCTTATTTTTTATTTTATTTTTTTGCTGCTGCCATTTTGGCCAAATCACCTCTCTCATTTGATCTCAAGCAATTCTGCCTGGTGAAATAATAAATAAATAAAAAATGTTAACTGAGATTTTCCCCCCCCTCCACAGGAGACTTGCTTGATGAAAGAACTGCCATTGTTGACGGCTACAACTCCTATTTCAGCTTCAGTCGAGGACGCAGCGGTTATTCAGGTTTATTACAAAGTCTTTTTAGTTGTGGTTGAATCATGCAAACACTGATTTTGCCTCTAAGTAACCCTTTTCAACTCTTGCTGACACACTACAAAAAAAAAAAAAAAAAAACTTATTTCCCTCCAGACTGCTGTCACAATCCTGCTCCACAGACAGACTGAAGAAGTCTTTTGCCCCCCCTGGTCTGTACAACACCTCACGGTTATGACAGGGGGGAAAGCACACACTTGGACTAAAATCTTCCTTTTTTTCCATTTCCCATCTGCACAGCTGTCCTAAGAGTCAGCCTCTAGTTGGACACTCACTTAAATAGCACCTTTAATTAATGTTTGCACTGCCTGTTATTTAATTTAATGTCTGTTTTTGATAACTCAGCACTCTCTGCTTTTTTAAACATTGCTGTACATATATAAACAACACAACTTCAGAAGGTCAACACTTTTTTATTTTTTTATATTCAGGTCTAATTACAGATTTTTTTCCCACAACTGTTTATAGGTTCTTGCTTTAAATTACACATATATTTTTATCCCTGCACAGGTTATGTACATTTCTTGTCTAAATCTATTTTTAATTGCACAGTTTAAGTTTGATTCATCTAGGGGTGTTCTTTAAATCTTTTTTTAATATATATGTATGGGAGGGGGGCGTCGGTACGTCTTGTAACCTGTTACTGGATGCTTTGAATTTCCCTCGGTATCAATAAAGTATCTATCTATCTATCTATTTCTGATTCACACAGGGGTTGCCACTTACTGTAAAGATAGCGTCACTCCATTTGCTGCGGAGGAGGGTCTCACAGGTCTGCTGACCAACCATGAAGGGGCTGTTGGATGTTATGCGGACCAAACACAGTTCTGTAGTGAGGAGCTCCAGCTTTTGGATAATGAAGGACGAGCTGTTATTACACAGCACAAAACCATGTAAGAGAAATGTTTTGCTTCTTCGAATTGCTCTTCATAAAGCTTGTGTCAATTAGTTGTAAACTGTAGATTTCTGTGCCTCTTCTCCATTCTGTTCTAGGTGCCAAGACAAAGAGCAAACCGTTACTATAATCAATGTATACTGTCCACGCGCTGACCCTGAAAAGCCAGAGCGGAAGCAGTTCAAACTTCAGTTCTATAAGTTGCTTCAGTGTCGAGCTGAAGCCATACTGAAGGATGGGAGGTGAGTTTTAAGAGGTTTCAACAGACTTAAGCGGTTAGATTGTAGTTGCAAAGAGACCCAGATGTTTCCTTCTTAAACCACAGACATTCGAACGATCCAACCATTTTGATTATAGGCAGTTTTATTAGGGCCTGGTAAGAAACAGTCCTTAACTTGAATGTGCAACCTCTAACATTTACCAGGATGTGTATGCGCTTTGATTTATGTAAATTACAAATAAGGTTAATTCCTGCATTTGCCTTAACAAATATAGCATGATGTATTTAAGATATGTTTATATATAGAAGGCATGTGGTATTTGTCACATTGTTTACTGAGTTCTGATATCAATCATATTTATGACAGTATTTCGTTGTTCTCTCTACTCTTTAAAAACTTTTTTTTTGTTCTACTTTTCAGCCATGTGATCATTTTAGGAGACGTAAACACATCTCATCGGCAAATCGATCACTGTGATCCCAGTGACATTGTAAGTAAGAGGTTAAATATTGTTGTACGATTTCCTGACTTGGTTTTATTTTGGAGGAGTCTGGTGATTTGATATTATGCTAAAGTTAGATGTAAAGATAAATACCACTCCAGGGACGCCTGATAGCCTGGGGGTTATGCTGTGCGCACACTATACAGAGGTTGGAGTTCTTGCCGCAGCGGCCGTGAGTTCCAATACGACCTTGGCCCTCAGTTTATTTTGTAAAAATTATATAAGTGTATTTTTCTTATTGTACAGGAGGACTTTGGCGAGAACCCTGGGAGGAAATGGCTGAATGGCTTTCTGCACGATGACGGACAACGGGAGGAAAGGCAAGATGACAAAACTGATGAAGAACCTGAGGTAACGTCAACAGAACCCATCCACTCTGGGAAGTTTGTGGATACCTTCAGATATTTCCACCCAACTCGCCCCAACGCCTTCACGTGCTGGTCCACTCTCACTGGAGCAAGACAGACCAACTATGGCACTCGCATTGACTACATATTTGCAGATTGCCAGCTGGCTGCCGAGCAGTTTCTGGCAGCAGACATCATGCCGGAGGTGGAGGGGTCAGACCACTGCCCTGTGTGGGGGAAACTGAGCTGCTCTCTTGTACCCAGCTCCAAGCCTCCTCCCCTCTGCACTCGCTACCTGCCGGAATTTGCTGGTAAGCAGCAGAAACTCTCCCGCTTTCTTGTAAAGGTTGACCAAAAATCAATTTGTCCTGAGCCGAGGGAAGCATTACCTGGATCTCAAGAGGAGGAGGAGAGGAGGGAGAATTTAAAGCCAATCGACGCTGGTAAGAAACGGTTATTGACATCAGACGCTGCGGTTCCAAAAGGTAAAAAGGCTAAGATCGTCAAGGTATCTTCAAAGCCACAGGGCAGCCTCCTCTCCTTTTTCAAACCCAAACTCACAAATGTTTCCTCAACTGAAGCCTCTTGTGAAAAAACACTCAACCCGGATGAAGTTGCCTCTTCACCTAACTCCCAAAAAGTATCCTCAACTAGTGAGGCCGTTTCCTCCGCCACAAGCACAGTACCTGAAGATGTGCTTGATGCTTCACAGCCGCAGTGCACTAAAGAGGAAAATGACAAACAGATGAAGAGGAAACAGTTATCCCCCGAGCCCTCTGTGGGTAAAACCGATTCCAAGAAAGGTGCATCTTTAGTGTTCTGGAAGTCGATTCTTCATGGACCGCCCCCACCACCTCCCTGCAAAGTGCACGGGGAACCCTGCGTGCTCCGTACTGTGAAAAAAGAGGGGCCAAACATGGGCAAACAGTTCTTTGTGTGCTGTCGTCCTCAGGGTCATGCCTCCAACCCAGAGGCTCGTTGTAATTTCTTTATGTGGGTTGAGAAGGGGAAGTGATATTTTTACTGTACGGACCATGATTCGTTTTTTTTTTTTTTCACCATTTCAACCTCGCCCATGTATTTTAAGACTACTACATGGATGTCTCTTTATTTCATAGATTTGTTTTGTTACCTATGTTTCCTAGTTTTACAATAAAATACTGTATAGTTTTCTCGTACTTTGAGTTTGGTTTCATTTTTTCAAGGTAAGTTAACGAACCAAAAATTAATCAGCAATCATTTTGAAAATAGTTTTTTCAGCAAATGTGCTGCTTCCCAAATGCATACAATACAATACAACTTTTCTTTTTTACTTTTGTCTGTTTTACATTGTTGTATCTTAAAGTTAAGAACTATTGGGTGCACAACATGTATATGTGTATATATATGTGTGTGTGTGTGTGTGCGCATAAAGAATCGCTAGACACAATAGAAAAGAAAAACTAAAACCCAGCCCTGCAGAAGAGGCATTTGTAGAATAAGATGTCTGTGACCAACTGGGGGAGAAACTGAAGTAAACTGACAGTAAACCAGCTCACAAGTTCAGAGCAGCAAGAATTCCCAATGAAATGTATTTAACAATGAAGATATGTATGTTAATGATTTTCACAATTTTCTTTTATTTTGTTGAAGTTAGAATGATTTGAGAAGATCATTCTCCTCATCACACAAGGTTTGGTAGCTTGCACTGAAACAGTTGATATAAATGTCCTTAACAGGGCTACTTTTTACTACTTAACTTTGAGAGCATAGTGTTCTTTTTTTCACTTTTAAGTGTTTTAGTTCTACTTGAGTCAAACAAATTTGTGCATTTAGCCAATTCTGATAAAAAGCATGAAGACGGTCTGTAGGTGTTGTTACATTTAAATGCCCTACATCATATGGCTCCTTATCATACTTGTGACTGGGACCACTAGATGGCAGTGCTGAGCTGCTTTACACAAAGTTGAACCTTAGAAAAGGCTACTGAAAAGTAACTTTTCAGAACAAAAAGAGAAATTCAGAAATGTTCCTCCTGTAAAGCGCTAGGATGAATGGTGACAGTATCCCCACATTCTGATTCAGACGACTTTATTTATCCCCAAAGGACATTTTAGTTTCACAACCTACTGATTCATTCAAAGAAGCCAAGACAATATGAAGGAAACCAACACGGCAGCATTCAGACTATTACATTCACATGCCAGTAACAACAATTTGACAGACGAACAGGTCGCCAAATGAGGAGCCAGAGCTAAAAAAAAAATTAGAAATTGATAAATACAACACCAGAAATGTATTCAACAAATAGATACATAAATGAATGGACCTTAGAGGTTTCCTAAGTGTACAGTAGCCGTCCATACAAATCAGTTAAAGTGGTTCAACATTGAGTATCTGTTGGTTCTCCTTGGAGGGGCATGATAGCGGCGTCCAGAGGGCATTAGAAAAAAAGAAAGAAGAAACAGTGTGTAAGATAAGATTTCCCTTATTTCGTAATGCAACAGCACCACATGTTGCCTGAACGGTCTAGAGCAAGGAGGGGCTTGAACTTGTGACATGGCAGGAAATGTCTTAACGCGCCAAATCACACACTGCCTCCCTCTCTCCCCCCTCTTTTTCCCTCTCTCGCTCTCCTCTCACAGATGAAGAGAGGTTCCTGGCTCTGGGAAAAGCAGACTTTGGAGGTGGACCAGCTAAGAAGTTTTCAACTTTTACCCTGAAACTTCTGTCCAGACTGAAGACATCCCTCTGTGTGACTGCTAGCGGTGAGTACCAGAAAAGGGCATTCTGCAGTTGCTCCAGCATTTCCCATTCACACATGAGGACAGTTTCCTCAGGAACTTTCTCTCCCTCGCTCCTATGGTTAGGATTTTTTCTAAATGAAGATACTTTTTTTTTTCTGAATGAAGATAACTTCTTTTTCAGCAGCTTCACTCTTTGACTGAGGATCTTTTTGAGCTTTAATTTGCATTGTGACATGCTGGCAGTATGAAAAGCACAGAGGAGGGATTTTAAATGACTCACTGAAATGGGAGAGTATCTTGGCTCCACATGCTGGCATGAATGGTCCCTACTAAAATAATGTGAAGTGTTTGATGAATGGTTTAACCAAGACAGAATGGCTCCTGGTGAACTTTATTTTACCCTGACTTTGTAAGTGAATACATTAGTTGCTTTATCTAGGATTCGTTTCAAATGACATGTTTCGCTGACTTTCAGTCCGTAAGGTCATTTAAGGTAACTGAGTTTGTCAGTCCAATCTGTACTGAGCAAAAGTTAGGTATTTCACTGGCATATGGCTCCAAACAGTCTGACACGAGTACTGAAATGTTTGAAGTGACCTTTTTCTTAAAGTAACACATAAAACCTTCATTTTTCCAAGTGAAACCAAATAGTCTGACACTCATAAAATGTAGCCATCTGGGAGAACTTGATCAAATCTTAATTCAACAGAAAGACGACATTTTGTAACACTGTAAAGAATTAGTGTCTTGGTAAGATAAAGAAGACTTGGGTGTTTCTTGGGTGTGCAGCCAGAGCTCATATCGCAGTTAAGTTTGACAATCTGCCAACTGAAATCTCCCCTCAGATGAGAAAGACATTTGCTGGAGTCTGCAAAGCGTATACGTACGCAACTTAATGGTCCCATGGGGAAAATCTGTCTTTTGACGCATATACAGCAGCTGCCTGTTCAGTTTCATCACCATATAACAACAATAATAAACACCAACCCAGCTGCACTTTCTGTCACCTGCCTCGGCCATTTGTTCTCTTACGTGTCAGCTCAGGTCTTACTGTGAGTTTTGGGTCAAGCACATGATCAGTTGTAAGCATGCACAATGTTTCCACTCTTAAGCACAATCACATGTGGGCTATCTTAAAAAAGCACTTATCTCCTAAGCTAATTAGCATCACTGTGACTTCCAGCAGGATGTAAACTGTCAGTGAATATCCGCCCATGCAGTAACAAAAACCCCTCTCAGATGACACCCGCTGCGCCCCCCCCCCCCCCCCCCCCCTCCTTTCCAACTTGAATATTCTGTAATGACATGGTAATTAGCCTCCAGTATAAACACCAGTTGTAGAGAGTTCCTTAGATTACCTGTAGCCTTGAACTGCAGTCTGTCTCTGAAAACGTCATGTATTGCCTTTGTTTGGACTCCGGTTTCAACACCTTTTGGGTGCAGACAGCTGGTGAGAGGATCCCCACAGTCAGGCTTTTTGCAGCTGTGTGGCTCTACCTGTGTGTGGCTAGACAAAGGGTTAAGTATGGGTGTTCCCATTTTCCCTCTCACTCCCCCCACAGCCTCTAATCTCTCTCACTCTCTCCTCTTCTCACTACCAAGGAGCTTTGGAGAGACTCCTAAGAACAAAGCTATATATAAACCTTGGGAGGGAAAACTGAGGGAACTTGCTTAAGGATATATTCTGACATTATTGTGAAAAGAAAACAAGCCAGGGTCACCAGGGTAAGTTGCTGGAAAATGTGTGTGTGTGTGTTAGTCCTTATGCATGTTAAGGAAGGGAAGGGCTAATTGTCAGAGTGAGCTGCTCTTGCATCAGACAAACGCCATGTGGGCTGTAATGCTGGATAGTGAGGTAAAAGAAATGTCTTGGCTTGACTTAAGACTGCTGTTCTTGGAGTGATTATTCCATACTTTCTTTATTGTGATATCTGAAGAGGTAATGGGATATGTTGTTTGGGAAAATTCTAGTACGAAGAGTTGGAATCAGAAAGAACAGGAACGAGTTTGAAGTTTTTACTACTTTTTCCAATCTCTCAGAGTTTCCACTGTGTAAAAGCTTCCATCTTGACCAATAAAATTTCGAACATTGGATTAAGTTTCTTGTTAACCAGGTTTGTCTACTTTCACCATCTCCCCCACAAAATGTAAACTGTAAAATCAAGCTTTTCTTCTCAATGTGAAAGTGGTCACTCTTCCACCAAAACTGCCTTTTGTCATGTTAAAGGTACCCAGCCTGTACTTTGCCGGGTTGTGTGTGTTGGCCGCGAGCCCTGGGAAAGTCGCCGGGTATGTAGCTAAAGAAAGTAACTCCAACTAGAGTTGACCTGAGGCAAGTATGCGTGGAGAAGGCTACTCTGTATTTAGGCTAAATGGCACCATTTAAACAAGAAGCCTTTGTTTATCCCTGCGGCCGGCTGCTATCGCCTTCCAAAGCTGTTTGGATTATTTTGCATCCACAGCCCCGTTACTGTGATGAGCGTAGGATTCTTGGGCAGAACTCCTCAGGAATGGTCACGATGATGTGCGAGCGTGTCCTTTGGGGTCAAGATGTGAAAATCCTGAGGGCAGAGAGGGGAAGTATCCCATGACCCCTCAGTCAGCAGGAGCACAGACCTACGCTCATTCCCAGAGTGTGTCCATGCCAGCTTTGTGTGGCAGATTAGAACATAAGTCCCCAGACAACAATTGTTATTTAAACACTTTCAGCTTTTAATTGACCTACATCCAAGGCAAATGTACCCCCCTTTTTTTTATTTTTTTTTGTGATCTTCTAAAGTGATCTGTTAGTTTTTGGATCCTCATATCTGAAGCAGGGAGCGGGACTCCAAGATAAAACAGCGCTGACAGATTTATGCATCTCCTAAGAAAAATAGAAACATGAAACATTTTGTGTTGTCCTTGGCAATAAGAAAAATTACAGAGTTGTGCGTATTTATAAATAGGTTTGCCCTTTTGAAGACACAATTGCGCATTATGTTTGTATTACATTAGTCACTGTGTTTCTTTTCTGCAGCAGCGTCCTTCTGTTCCAGTACAGACGACAAGTATTATTTGCCTTTAAAAGGCCAAGGGTTTTCAAGCTGCCACTTTACATAACTCTGTATTCATTACTTTGTACAGAGCAAACAGCTTACATTTATCACATTTATCATAAACACATCGCCACACTTGTGCAGCTTCTTGGTGGGTGTTCTGTTTTAACCTAAACAAGTTAAGACAAGATATAGGAAGTGGTGATTCACACAGAGGAAATGTAAAATATTTGAAGACTCTTGGGAGGTCATGCAACTTTTAGCCAGTAGCCTAGTGGTTAGTGCGCGCTCGGTGTACGGAGGCTAAAGTCCAAGAAAGCGAGCGGCCCAGGTTCAAATCTGACTTGTGGTTCCTTTCCTGCATGTCATACCCCGCTCTCTCTCTCTCTCCCCGATTTCTGACTCTATCAACTGTCATTTATCTCAAATAAAGACATAAAAAGCCCCACCAAAAAGTAAATATAGAATAAATAAAAGCATGTCTAAAAATGGCTACATTTGCAGGTGATTTAAACAAGAACATTTTTCATTCATGTAATCATTATGTCCTGTTTTGATTCCAGTCTGGTAAAAGTTTGAAGAGGATTCTTTTAGTCCAGCAAGAGTTGATCTCCAAAGTCTCTCTCGAGTCACAACCCCGGTAATCAGAATGGAGCTTCAGAAGATGAACGGACACAGCAGGGACGATGGGTGAGATGAAGACTTATTCACTGTTTCACGCATCACAACAAAGATGAAAATGTGTTCCTTATTTGTGCAAGTTTAGAGTAAATCTTTGCATCTTTGTTTGTAAAGATGTAATTCATTACAAAGGTTAACTCGAGACACTTTACAAACGAGAAGGTAGAAGACCTTAATCTTTGTTTTATTATTCACAAAGACCCAACATGAATCCATCATGAGCACAAAGCGACATTTAGCAAAGTTACAGTGGCAAGGAAAACTTTCTTGAAGAGGCAGAAACCTCGAGCAGAACCAGACTAAGGTTAAACAGCCGTCTGTCCAAAATGTGCTGGGTGTGGAAAGTGGGATAGGAGGAGATGCAGAAAAAAGGAGAATGACAGAGATAAACAGTCTCAATGTGTCTATGAAAACATTGTGTTTGTTTCCATAGGTTTGATGGTCTTGAAGCCATGACTGAACATGAAGAGTTTCTCCCCCATAAAGCTGGAGTGAAGAAAGAAATCCAATTCACCGATGTAAGAGTCTCAGTCTGACCGGTTTGGCTGTTGTAAAATGCTATTAATGCTAGTGATGTTATTTTAGTTTCTGCATTGATCCGTCTGTGTCTAACATCCTCTGTTGTCTCCTTCCTCCAGTTTGAGGGAAAGACTTCATTCGGCATGTCCATCTTTAACCTCAGTAACGCCATAATGGGCAGTGGGATTCTGGGATTGGCTTATGCAATGTCCAACACTGGAATCGTTCTTTTTATGTGAGTATGCGAGCCAAACACACAAAAAAAAGTCCCTACTTTGGAATGGAATTGAAAACTTCCAATGAGTGTGTGTGTGTGTGTGTGCGTGCGTGCGTGCGTGCGTGCGTGTGTGCGTGTGTGTGTGTGTGTGTGTTGGTTAACGTATTTGCTCAGTGCATTTGCCCTTTCTTGTGCAAAGAGGAAATGAATATATTGATTTAGCTTGTAATTCATATGAGCTCTCCTTTGGAACACAAGAATAGAGCAGGGCTGTTTGTTGTGTGTGTGTGTGTGTGTGAGAGAGTGTGTGTGTGTGTTTTAGTTTATCAGATGGACAGTGTGAAGATTTTTGCAAACTGAAGTCATTTTTGTGCTATTTGCTCTAAAAAAAAACAGCAAATATGCATTTATCCATTTTATTCGGACACACCTTTTAGACGCCAAATTTTGTATTTATGTAGGTTTTATTCATTTGTCAAAATTATACTTTTTATTTGTCCTTTACATATCACAGTATGCTGCTCATATCTCCGTCTGTCTTTAAGCTACCTGAATCTTTTAAGCTCTTTGTTTATTTGTTCTTAAAGAAGAGCTAAATTCATGACAAATAAAGATTATTTTGGTCAAAGGTTAACAGTAAAAACAGAATTAAGTTCATGTCAGTGGATACAGGCTGTTAGTACGACCTGTGTGTGTATCACCTGACTGCCTGTGTGTATTTGTGTTTGGGTAGGTATGTGTGCTGGCAGTGGGATGGACTCCCTGCTTGTGTATACGTGCGTTTCTGTCTGTCTCCACCTGTGTGAGATGTAGGTGTCATACTGTATTTAAATCTAACTGCTGCTGTACACAGCCTGAGAGTGTACATCAGAGCTTGTACACACGAGGCTCCACTAAACAGATTTGAGCGGCTAAAAATAGCCCGTAGTGATCAGATCCAAGACACGCCTGTGCTGGATCAGTCCTGTGCTATGTGGCAGGGGGAGGAAGACGGAGGGTGGAGAGCCAGTCTCTTACTCATATGAGTGGAGAAAAAATTACAGTAAACCAAAGAAACGATTGTTAACAAAATTAAGCTTACTTATAAGAGCAAAGTTTAAATTATAAAACACCCAACAGGACACACAACTGAACAGAATTGTTGACTTTACTTTGCTATAAAATGTGACTTCATAGCTTTATAATGTGCTGTAACAACAAAAAGATCCTTTAACACTTTAGACTTGGCAAATATTGTCTTGAATGCGCTTCTTCTCAATGGGACTAACCTGGATATATGAAGGTTGAATAGAAAGATTAAAATATGTGTGCAGGGGCAAGCATGTAGGAAAGTTATATTGGTGGTCAGATGCTCAGCAAATTTGGTTGTTCAATATCTTTTCTCTTTTTGTCTCTTTTGATAAAGTCACTTCCAAACAAGTTCCCTGTTCTTGTGTGTTTCAGAACCCTGTTGGTGTTCATTGCCATTCTGTCTGCATATTCAATTCACCTGCTGCTGAAAAGCGCTGGAGTCGTTGGTAAGTCGGAGCTTGACTCAACATCTTAGCATACGTAGCCACAGAGGCCATTCTGCATTCTGTACTGTACGTTATTTCCATTGGATATATGAATATTGGAAGCTCCCACTTGTTTACAAGCAGCTGCATGGAAGCCTTGAATTGTCGTCGTTTTTTAATCAAAACTTGGCCATATTGGGTCAAGAGGGTGGACGAGGGGATTAGCAAAGACTTAGCAAAAGCTTCACTGAAAAGACCATTAGCTAATGCATGAGTTTGACTCTGTGTTTTCATTCTGTTTTGGGGGGTTAGCTGACAAGAGTTGTTTATATATCTGTCTTAAAAGCTGGTCAATTTTTCGCTGTAATTTGGCATTCTAACATTGGCCTAATTACTGTAGAGCTGACTCAGTTACAGGTCCAGCCACTAGAGGCTACTCAAGGAACTGCATTTTCTAGTCTCTTCTAGTTTCGACTACTTTCTCACGCCCGCTCCTTTATCATCTATGAGTATACTTAACATCTGTTTTTTTTTTTTTCAGGCATCAGAGCTTATGAGCAGCTTGGGAATCGGGCGTTTGGGCCCCCAGGAAAAATGTTGGCCGGCTGCATCATCACAGTACACAACATCGGAGGTACTGTGATTGCCATTTTCCCATTTAATCTGTGTGATCTGTAAATGAAAGCATGTGCAGTTGATCAGGATATATTACGCACGCACTAAATACGAACGCTTACACTTCTTATTAGCGATGTCCAGCTACCTCTTCATCGTCAAGTCGGAGCTCCCGCTGGTTATTCAAGCTTTCCTGAGTAAACAGGAAAACACAGGGTGAGTGTCATAATAAAAAAAATAACATCTACACTATTTTTCATCCGCAGTGTTTTTTTTTATTCCACATTCAGTAGTTTGACAGTGTATTGATGTTTCTTCATCTGTTTGTCCTGCTGTCTCTTAGAGAGTGGTTCTTGAATGGAAACTTCTTGATCATCATTGTTAGTGCTTCTGTCATCCTTCCTCTAGCACTCATGAAACAACTTGGTATGTTTTTTCATTCTGTCATCACATTTTCTTGTTTTTTTTTTATCCTTCTATTACTCTTCAAACTCTGCCAGGCAAATATTTTGTTAAGTCTGTGAACTGTAAGCACCTTTTGAACATCTTACTGTCTTTGCACTGCAGGTTATTTGGGCTATACAAGTGGCTTCTCCCTCTCCTGCATGGTGTTTTTCCTTATTTCGGTGAGTTTAAACGGTTAAGAAAACAAAAATACATGCGATGCCACTAGCTTTGCCTCAATGGAATATTTTACTTTTGATTAACAAATCGTTTCCTCTCAGGTCATCTACAAGAAGTTCAACATCCCGTGTCCGCTGGAGGATAAACAAACCAACATCTCGCATGTCCTGGGTGACCACAGCTTCATTAATGGGACAGGCGACTTCTGTGAAGCAAAATATTTTACGATCAACCCACAGGTTAGACCAAAAAAATCCTAATGATACATTTGACTGCATCTGTTTCCCTGAATTTCAGCCTGTTATATTTACTTCTTGGTTAGCCCTAGCAGCAGCTTCACTGCCACATGTTCTGTACCAGAGCGTGTTGTGTCAACAGCATTAGAGCATGTGTTATGTCAACAGCATACATTTTGTTAGCTTGCTGGACTTAGTGGGTGACTCGCTGACCTTTGGCATGTTTTAACTTTTAGACAGCATACACCATCCCTATTCTGGCCTTTGCTTTTGTCTGCCACCCGGAGGTGCTGCCAATCTACACAGAGCTACGAGAGTAAGTCATGTCGTCATCACTGACTTTGCATTAGCTCACAGACAAAAGTTTTAGTATATTTAAAGTAATTTGTTTCCCTTGTTTCCCCTCCAGTGCCACCAAGAAACGTATGCAGACTGTGGCTAACTTCTCCATCCTGGCCATGTTCGTCATGTACCTGCTAACCGCTCTGTTTGGTTACCTCACTTTTTTTGGTAAGAGGCTCTTGACTCCACAGAGTCAAAGATCAGCTTGTTCTGGGGTTGTATATGGAAAGATTTTCAGATGAATGAATGACTCACTTGTACAGAGAGCTCATATGCATTTTCCACTGTTGCGATTGAGGGACTAGTCCACGTGAGATACGTCATGAGAGTATGTGTGCAGGTGCTGTGGAGTCGGAGCTGTTGCACACCTACAATCGAGCGGGTGCCCTGGACGTCCACGTTCTCTGTGTCCGCCTGGCTGTTCTGGTGGCTGTGACGCTGACTGTCCCGGTGGTTCTGTTCCCAGTAAGGCTTTGAACGTATATTAGGAATGTTTTCTTATCAAAATAAGTTTAGGACATCATTCCACTTTTTGCACTTCTGTGTTTAAGCAAATACAAATGTAGACTCAGAATAAATCAATAAAGATGAAGCTGACAGGAAGAGGAAATTAGACGAGCTGCTTTTTTCGTCCAATGTCAATCAGATCCCTAATGAATTAGTTAAAAGGTCTCAATCTCCAGACTGATTGTTTCCAGTCTGAGCTAAGCTAACGTTATGTTAAGTCAATGTAAGGACTTGGCTGTGTGTCTTTGCATTTAAACCTGATTTACTTTGTATGTTTATGTTTCATATTTCATGTATATTTAATGCTCTTTTGTGAAGAGAATGTAGAATGTCATTTTTTTATCTCATGCGACCTGCAGGAGATTAAAAATATATACGACGCAGTTTTAAGACACTTCCTCATTTGGTTCATTTATAGAGCCGTTCACCTCTTTTAAACTGTTTTTTGGTCGTCACATTTCTGCTTAAGAGCTCATCTTAGCGTGACTTCACCTGATAGTGTAACAGCTCTACCTTAAATTCTTACTTTAGCATATTTCTGCACATCAATCTTGACGCCTATGACCTCAAATGTATAGAAAACCTTAACATTCACCCTCTTTCCTTCCTTTGCAGATCCGTAGGGCCTTGCTCCAGATCTTTTTCCCCAACAAACCGTTCCACTGGGCCATTCACATCGGCATCGCGTTAGGTCTCATCTTCATAGTCAACCTCCTTGTCATCTTCGTGCCCTCCATCCGGGACATCTTTGGCATCATTGGTATGTTTACACTTGCCGTCTGGCCCGAGCTTCACTGCAAATCTTCAGTGTGAAATTGCCAAACCATTATCTGCATAGTTACTTATTGTGTAAATGCTTTAATAAACTGATTATTTTTTTCATCTTCAGGAGCCACATCTGCCCCCAGTCTCATCTTCATCCTACCTGGAATCTTCTACGTCCGGATCATTCCTGAAGAGCAGGAGCCTTTACTGTCCAGACCTAAGATTCAGGTAAAGCTCAGTACTATTAGCTTTCTAGGACATTATGACTTTATCTGTTTCTTCATTGTGTTGTATTTTTATTGCGATTGTTGATAATGTTGTCTCTTCTTTCCTGTAGGCCGCATTATTTGCCGCTCTGGGATTCATCTTCATGGTCATGAGTTTGTCGTTTATCATCATTGACTGGGTAACCGGAGAGTCTAGAAGCGGAGGTGGACACTAGCAGCCGTGACTGAACAGATAAACTACAAACAGAATGCCAACGAAAGCTCCCTCCCCGTCTTTTAAAAAAATAAAAATACTCCCTGATCTGCTGAGCTCTCATCCAAAGCCGAACAACAAAGTCTGGCTGCATGATATGAAGGACATGTGAAGGACCCTTCGCCTAGAACAATAACAAAGAAAGCATTTCGACATGTTTCAGGGCAGAGAAAGAAAAAAAAACGGCCCTGCAAAGGAGGAGAGAACACAGAAGCAGTGTGTTCTGACTGAATTAAACCCATGTAGTGACTTGCAATGAGGACGTTATTTGGAGGCCTGTGTAGAAATGCAAAAAGGCATGAATGAGAAGAGCATGACTCAAATGGAAATCCCATTTTAGAGTGTTGATGTGCACAGTTCCCTGGAATAGCTCAGTCACTGCCAAAATCTTTCTAATCTTACTTCCCTTCATTTTAGATGTACAGGACCGGAATGATATGGGTTTTTTTTTTTTTACAATCAATACACATCATCAGCTGCTGTGTCATGTCATGGTCTCCTTGTCCACATTTCCCCAACAAATTAACAGTAAGGATTAGTCTGCAGTTTCACACTAACCATTACAAACTACTAAATTCCAATCCCTTTTACACAGTGAAATGATAATGTGATATTTTTTTTTTGTGTTAATCTATTAACTTAATTTAAGGTGATCATCTTTGAATTTGAATCTGATGTGACCTTTTTCTGTGAAGACAATGGTGCAATGTGTGGGTGTTCAGCTGCTATCAGAGAAGGTCAAACACTTACTGGCAATCAAATGTGAGTGAACAGACACCAAGTCGTTTGTACAATTATTTTTTTAAAGTTTATTCCGAGTGGCGAAACCAAAGAAGTTAACTTTTGTGTGACATAAAAAACGGTGCAACACTTTTTTTTAATGTATTCAGCAAAGGCCAAAAAAATGCAGTGTTAAAACAAAAGACGTGTCTGTTTAGGCCATCCATCAAAATCAGTATGGTGAGTAATAACATGTGGTTTTTAACTTAAAATGAATGGAGCCTGTTTTCTTTTTTATTTGACTAAAATATTTAGATTTTCTTATTCATCCTGTACATTTTTAAATTAATTTGAATGTTGTTACCTGTTAATAAAATATGTCTCTCGTTTCTACAAGTTTGGGGTTGCTTTTATTTCAGACTCGGGAATCCTCGGTGTGGTTGTAAAGTGAATGTTAAAACAGCCGAAGAAGAGCAATAATGCACGACCTCCCTCTGAAAATGGAAGTAACACATTCATTTGTGCTCCGTGTCTGAGAGAGAGAGAGAAGAAAAGTGGGGGTTAGAGAACTGTGGTTGGCCGTTTCCTGCTTTGAGTTGATGTGTGCACAGAACAGAGAAGAGAAACTTCCTTGACTCTAGAGCTCAGCATTCTGTCAGTGTAGAGAGGACGTTGTTTGTTTTAGATGCTGTTCACATTTCATTTGCGATAACACTGAACTTTAATCGAGGACCATGAGCCGGGGATCTAAAAGTAAAACGGAGTTCGCCCGGAGCTCTCTGCTGAGCCTGCAGGAGAACGAGAAGCTGGAGGAGCTGCTGGGCAGAAGGTGTGCTGTAAGTTCTGAAGTGATCATAGCAAACTGTAAAGGCTGACACCCTGCTGTATGTCTCTTTAATGTCACCCTTACTAACAGCTTATTCTAAAAGCGAATGAGAAAGGCATCCAACATAGAGCAGGTTATTCTGTTTGCTGTGTAAAAAATGTAAATAATTTCAGGCATCAGGACATCCCTTTTTACCATGTGTGGTTAAAGGTTATATCCTGAATTTGAATGTCGGCAGTTGAGAGCTGAACCTGGAAATAAGGCTTGGCATTTCACCTTCAACTCAACACAACAATGATTAGGTTTGACTCCTCATCTGACCCATTTTTTTTTAATGTACTTTCTTTTTAAAGATTCAGTTTTTTTAACAATTCAAGAAAATGTACATTTTAATTTTTACAATATAAACCCTACGAGACATTATCTAAAGGGATATACTGTACTTTTAAGGAGCCGCAGTTAAAAATGAAGTGCTGACATTAGGTCATCAAAAAGGAGGTAGCTGTAACAGGAAATGGTGGCTGAACGGTTTCTTCCTCTGCTGTCAGAATTAGACACTGAAGCGTGTTTCACTATTGCAGTGGAGTAGAGGGTAGTTTGGTTTCCTGACTTTAAAAAAAAAAAAAAAAAGAAGTTACAGAAGTAAACACAACAGTTCTGACTGTCAGCCACACCTGCTGAGCAACATACCACCACCAGCTGAGTGTTTGGAGGACTCACCATGTTATCTGAACAAATGACAGCAGACAAGGAAGTGAATCCTCACCTCAGAAAGTGCAAAGTTATAGGAGAAGTGCAATTTGTTTTTCGTTAATATATAATTGTGTGTGTGTGTGTGTGTGTGTGTGTTTAGTCCATGGCCACTGCAGTTGTACAGCTGTTCATGGCTCTGCCTCACAGTCCGTCCGTGTGGAGCCTGCAGCACACCGGTGTGGTCTGCTTTATCAAAGACAACCCTCAGCGCTCCTACTTCATACGCATGTTTGATCTAAAGGTAACGTCTCATTATAATGACAATCTAATTGTATCCTCTTTTTTTTTTAGCTCTGTTTAGACTGATGATGTAATCAAATATATGTGTGTTGAAAAGTGAGATGAGGTTACTCACGTCCGTATGAGTAATTTTAAGAGACAAATATGATGACTGTGTTTTTCTACAGACTGGGAGGCAGGTTTGGGAGCAGGAGCTCTACAACCAAATTGTGTACTCCTCACCGCAGCCGTTCTTTCACACCTTTGCTGCAGATGTAAGCACAACCGTGTTTCACTAATTCCTACAGCTATAGTTCAGATATTAAGTTGTCCTCTCTTGTTATTTGTGTTAAAACTATACTAGAGTCTGCAAACCTGCTTAAAAATACTGTTTTTGGATAATGTGGTTCCTCATGACACCTCAGGACTGTCAGGTTGGACTGAACTTTGCAGAGCGGCAGGAAGCAGAAACTTTCCAAAATGCTGTCCAGGAGAAAATAAACCAAAGAAACAACCGCCAAGGTCAGTGAGTTCATAGCCGCGCCACGTTATGTTTATTTTTACAATAAGAGAGTGTCTCATATAGGCTATGTAGATTCATTACAACTGTGGTAACAACTCCACTGTATTTCTTTAGTGAGCTAACATGATGCTTGCAAAAATGATTCTGGGTAAAAATAATTGAACTTAAATAAGGTTATTTCTTTGTTTGAATTTGAAACATTTCAGGATTGAGTTCATACCAAAAAGTCTTAATGCAGAGATTGTGTATCCATTAGAAAGCACATTTTACTTAATTATCGTTTAACTAGTAAACTAAAATAAATCAAAATCTTTTCTTCCTCATTTAATAATAGAATACTGTTTTATGTGTATTTAGGCTGTGTAAATATTGCGTTATGGGTTGGTGAGTGTGATATAAAACAGTTTCTCCCATCTTCCTGTTTTTAACAGACAAGAAACAGCGCCCCCTGCCGCCTGCTGGTAAGAAAGCATTCCTCTTTATGACTGCATTAGTATGAAACATACTGTAAGAGGGGATTTATTTTAAAGAGTAACTAAACCCCAAAACCATTTTTTTTTCAACTATAAACCTCTGTATTTGAGTATTAAGTAGTGTTATGGATCAATTCACGTCCCAATCTCGACATTTGAGTACAAAGTATTGAAATTCGAAATATTGTGTTAGAAATGTGCATAGTGACTGCTCTCTACTGGTTGAAAAATTCTATCTGTCATTTTCTTTTTTTCTTTTTTTTAAATACTGCAGACAGAGGTAACCTGCCTCCACTCCCACCTGAAAAAGGTAACTTCACCTCATTGTTTTTTACTCTAACCACCGACAACTGTGCATACAATTACACATTAATATGTACCTGCGTTTACTCTGCATCTCCTCCAAAGCCTCACCTGGCAGCCCTGGCTCCTTCCACATGACCACGGTGGACATACAGAACCCGGACATTCATGCGTCACGCTACCGCTCGACCCCGACCCCCTCGCCTGCTGCTTTTGGCGGGAAAGGAAAGAAGGACAAGAAGAACAAGAAAAAAGGCGCCAAACTCTCCAAAGCAGACATAGGAGCACCAAGTGGATTCAAGTGAGTGAGCAGACAACTTTTAGACGCCTCCATACCACGTTTTGGGAGGCTACATTTGCAATGTAAGATAGCGATAACTTCAAGAAGTTGGCCTTTAGCTGTGGAGAAGTCTTGTTTTCTTAACTACTTAGAGAAAACAATGCTTTGTTTGTTTGCAGTTCGTAATAATTTATCAAATGGATGATGAACTTGAATAAGAAATGATAACTTAACATCATTTTAAAAAGCCCACTTGTTCATAGGTGACAGAAACCATAACAATAAATGACCCAATTATTCATGGGAACATGTGATCAGCTTTGGCTTTACACTGGGTATAGATAATTTGGCTCTGGTATTTTATTTTCTGCTAGAATTAACTCTTAATTTCCAGCTAACTATGTTTGGGCTAAATGTAGTAGGCCTACACAATAGAATTTCACCTAATTTCTAGTTTGTATAGGCTACAGAACTTTCACAGTTATTACCATCCCTGGCATAACCTACATTTCTTGCACAAAAGAGCAGCAGATCTACTCTCAAACTAATTTTTCATACACCTTCAAGGGAAACCTCAAGCTGATAATCCTACGGTTATTATGATACCATGCAGAGCTAATTCTCTCAGTGCTTGACCAGACTATCATCTCTAACCCTCGTTATCAATACAATACACACCTGCTCTCTCCTCCTGCTCTCTGCCTCACACGTCTCCACCTGTGACTTTATGACAGTATGCAGTGACAGACAATCGTGACCTGCAGGAACTCCAGGGCTGCTGCAGTCTTTTGAATTTACGCTGCATTACAAATCCCAGGGATTGTTTAAATACTTTTCGCGTCCTTCAGACACTTTCACTTTGTCAGCAGGAACAAACAGAGTGGGGGGGGAGCTGTGGAGACGGTCCTGTGGGAGGCATGCCAGCTGTCATTATAAAGAGAACAACCAATGGACAGCTGTCCCTGCCATGTGGGCCGGTGATACGCAATTGCAGGGGGAAAAAAAGTCAAACTTAAAGTCATACCAGTCCTAAAGTGCCATTCCAGCCCATAGACTGTACATTTGAAGGCCCAGCCCTGTTTTACACAATCACTACCCTTTCACAAACGACGATCCATGTTAGCTGGGTAACCTTCATTTATTAGCTACTCAGAACATTTGGTGATAAATAGAAACCAATCGAGACTGACACCTATTGTATTCAAATTTAGTTTTACAAATTCAAACATGTAAAACTCATATTATTCACTCGTACGATGACAATCCGGCTCCCTGAGTCGCCTGAGATCTTAACCTGTGCTGAACAAAACAATTAAATTCCACAATTTCACAAGGACAAAACTTTAGGGGATGTTGTATTTTTGTGGTAAACAAATTAAGATTTTGTCCCAGGACATTGTGAAACAATAATCAGTTCTTCTTTTTATGATCTATAAATTGTCTGGTTTCAGGATTTACCACACAAAAGACAGAAAAAAAGTTTGTCTGTTGGGTAACTATGCATACAAAAACCTAGTTGAACAACCAGCTTCTAAACTGTTACCTATTGCCATTCAGGAGAAAAAATTGAAAAAAAAGTAGTGCTGTGTGTTTCTGATCATTGAGTTGACCGTTTCAGACTCTCTCTTCTTGTTTCCTTGCGTTCAGACATGTTTCTCATGTTGGCTTTGATCCAAACAACCTGGACCCTGACCTGTCCAAGCTGCTCTCCCAGGCTGGGATCACTGAGGCTGAGATGAGGGACGAACGGACCTCCCAGCTCATCTATAATGTCATCGAGCAGTCTGGAGGCATGGAGGCGGTCAAAAGGGAGGTGAACAGAGCAGGTCAGAGTCACTCACTTATATTTAACTTTCTGCTTCTGCATGTTAATATAAGATTAATATATGGTTGGATTTGCTTTTATGCATATTTCGTTCCATTGCATTCTAGCTTCTGGCCCTCCACCACCTCCACCTGGCAGACAGGGACCTCTGCCTCCTTTGCCCGGCTCGGGTTACTCTGTTCCGACCCCTCCTCCTCCACGAGGCCGCTCTGGCCCTCTCCCTCCTATTCCAGGCACGCAGCAGCGAGGGAGCCCATCCTCCCATGCGCCTCCAACCCGTGGGGGACTCCCACCTCCACCTTCTCAAGCCAACAGAGGTGGTCCCCCTCCTCCACCTCCTCCAGCACACTCTACACCTCCTCACTTCTCCTCACCGCCCCGTCAAAATCCTCCCCACACAACCTGCCTCCCCCACTGCCGCCGTCAAGCCAGCAGCGCTCCGTGGGTTTTGCGCCTCCTCCTGTTCCTGCTGCAGGCGGCGGAAGAGGAGGTGGAGGCCCTCCTCCTCCCCCTCCGCCTCCTCCACCACCGTCTGCCCTTTCTTCAGCTTTCCCGCCTCCTCCTCCTCCTCTTAGTTCCGGTGGTCCACCACAGCCGCCTCCTCCTTCATCCAGCGGGGGAGGAGAGAGCAGAGGAGCTCTGTTGGATCAGATCCGACTCGGGAAGAAGCTTAGAAATGTAAAGAAATTCCCCTTATCGCAAAGATCGTTCTGAAGAAATGTGATATAATATACATATTTGTGGATACTTTTATGTTTAAACTCTATTTCTTATTTCAGGTGATAGATAGTCCTGATCAGGCTCCGAATACACCTCCAGGGTCAGGTGAAGGCATCGTCGGGGCGCTCATGTCAGTCATGCAGAAGAGGAGTAAAGCCATCCATTCTTCTGGTAAATATGAAAACATTCATTCATCCTCTTAGCTCTTACAGTGAAAACCATAAGTCCTTACTTATTATCTCTTCTTTCTAGACGAAAGTGAAGATGAAGGTGGAGATGATGATGAAGAGGACGATGAATGGGATGACTGATTTGTAATAAGAGCTAAGTTCAACTGTGATTTTGTAATCACATGTAACATGTAACATCACTGTTACATTTAGTTGTTTTTCTAACCTCCAATAACCGCAAACTTGAATACAACTTGTGTAAAGCGATTCAATAAAAAAAAAATATATTCAATAGCAAAACTTGAAATGGACAGGAAAACAAGTCTAGAGAATCATGAAATGTTTATATATTTGTTTGGAACATTTCCAGTGTAGGATTCATGACAGCACTGTAACTCACATGAAGGTGATTAGAGGCTCTGTGTCGTTTCTCGTGCTTCCTTTAGAAGAGCCTTTTTTTTTTTTTTTTTTTTTAAATCCTGTAAATGTAGCTTATGACACAACATCAACGATCAATACTAAGTCTGAGCCATATTCATTCCCAGTTTTTATAACATACTGTACATTAAAAAAAAACAAAAAAAAAAACATTTTGTTCTTGAATCATTTTCTCATACATCTGTGCAAAGATCCCCAAATTCCCTCGAATCCCACCACCGACAAAAGTGCATAACTGGAAGAACACTGTACGCTATACAAATCTTCAACACTCACATACTGGAGGTCACTAGAGCACAGGACAGTAAGGGAGTCATTACATGACAACATCCAATTGGAATTAGCTTAGCAGAATACAGAACACCTTACAAACGTCAGAACACACCACGGTCTAAAACAGTCAAATGTACAACTTGCAACAAACAACAACAGAAATGCATGCAACATATGCATCATCATAATATCTTCATACAATACAACGACCATATATATTATATTCACAATCAATATATTACATTTTTTTCAAGATAATTAGAGTACAATACCTGTGGTTTCGTATGTTGGCGCCTTCTAAATACAAATTGTAAATACTTTACATCCAAGTCTAACATTTCTAACAAGGTAGCGTAAAAATATGTGATCCGCCAGAGGTCTTTATTTTTCACCACAGTAACTTTATACCTACATATCAGGAATCTCATATTTGAAGCGCTTGTGAGGAACTTCCTGTCTGTGTTGATTTTGGAAGCCCCTGTGGACTAAAGCCTTTTTTTTTTTTTTTTTTTTGTCCTTGCTGATCCTGTTTTTCTCCTGTGCGCGTGTTTGTGTTTTTCTCTAACAAAAGAAAATCATCCATCCTCCTTTCACCTAGGTAACAAACTTCTCGATGTGCAATCCTGCTGGAAAAATATAAACGTACGCACAGGGAGTTACAGGCGTTAAATAAAACAACCTGGAAATCTATCTTCTTTGTGATTTTCTTGTTAGCGTTGTAGCTCATATAAAGGCGCTAATGACCAGCCAAAATACCTTTTAGGATAAGTGAGAATCATCTACTAAAAAAAATGTGCTATCACACATATTAATGAAATAAGTGCCTAGAGATTTTTTTTCTTTGACTAAAATCGTTGATGTTTGGCTCTTCTACTGGAATTTCACACATGAAGGTGAACATACCTCAGAAGAAACCACTCTGATGATGATAAATCTGGAGCAAGTATTCAGTCTCAAAGTTAGTGTGAATGCTCTTATGAATCTTGATCATGAGCAGACACTTAAAACATAGGAAGGCTATGTGAAAATATGCAGTATTGTAAGGGGTGTAAAATACACACAAACTTGTATTTTTCTAGGCGGAAACCTACAAAACCACCAGTACAATACTGAAATGACGGCATGAAGGCATCACCTGCCTAAAGAACGGAGGTAACACGCTAACATGCGAATCAAACATAAAAGTCCACTAAAAAGTCCAGACAGGCCAGTGCTGGACGTGGTGAGTGTGGCCCTCTAGCCGAGCCCTTGGTCCTGACTCTCTGTGTGTCTGCGGCTGGTGCGTTTACGCTGCTGCTGATGCTGCTGCTGCTGTTTGGGATTGAGCTGTTCCCAGTAGGACTGGCAGTACTGGTTAATCAGTCTGATCTCAGGCGGGAAGGGTGTGGTGAAGAGGGACGACTGCTGGTAAGGTCCCGCGTGACGCGTGTTTTGCTCTTCGTCCTCGTCTTGAGCAGTGAGAGCTAAAACAATGTCTCGATCCAGAATACGCAGCGCCACGCGGGCCACCGTGTGTTTGAAGTTGTTCTCAGTGGCGAGGCAGTGGTAGAGCCCTGCGTCTGATTGGTTGAGAGACTTCAGGAGGATGCCGTGGTTGGTTTTCATGACTCCTCCCAGACGGTTGAGCTGTGGAAAGGTAAAAGAAGGAACGTTTAAGAGAGGGAACAAGGTTTTTAAGACGTCTAGAGATTACAAATGGACAGTTGATGCTCTTAAAGGTACAGTATGTAATTATGCTGCCAGGGTTCTCTCCATCCAAACAATAAACAAAGGTGTGGTTTCACTCTGTGATTCACTCAGCTGGGCACAATGACCCCCCCTGCTGTCACATGCCAACAAGGCTTACATTTACTGTAAAACAGAGAGAGTGGTTTTGATATTTAACTTCATGGAGTTCTCTATTTCCCTAAATGTCAAATACACCTGCAACAATCAATAATAATACATTTGAGCTCTTCCTCACCACTTTCCGTCTCCCCTCCCTCTGGAAGAGCCACTTGACGGTGGCCTGAGGAGAGCGAGGCTGACACTCCAAGAAGGTGCTGCTGCCCTCCACCCCAAACTGCACCGTTTCCCTCAGACGTTTCTCCACTGCACCGAAACAGAGGAACGCAATATCAACAAACGCTCATAACAAACTACAACTTTTTATCAGCATGTTGTTTTAACTCTGAAGTGGCCACACCTTTAGCATTGAAGCCTCTGCACTGCCTCAGTGGGTCGCCATGTTTGACATCCTGACGTCTGCTCCTCCTGAGACCAAACAAGAAGATAGATGTGATAAAAGTTGAATTCCTCACTTTACAGCCTAGAAACCGATGAATGTAAAGATGAAAATAACCCGTCACCTCTTGGTGGACGGTGTGAAGGCCGAGCAGCTCTCTCCGTCCCAGGCGCAGTAGGGGTCTCGGGCCAGGCAGCAGTCGGAGCAGGCCCTGCCGTACACATCACAGCGGTGCAGCGACACCTGGGTCAGCCCCGCATCAGATGACACGTACAGCTGTTGCTATAGTGATATAAGGAAAATAAACAGGGTCACTGTGAGGAATCTGCTTCGATATATGCAGTGAACTGTGTGTCACCAATTTAAGGATGTGCTTACTCTTTTAGAGGATATCTTCATGGTTTTGACTGGAGCTCTGCTCTGTTTTTTAATGAATAGAAACAAAAATAAATGAGTAAAAAATATAATATTTTTATTTGTATTTATTTTTTAAGGCTCACAAATTTAAACATACCCTGAAAACCTCCACTTCCTCCAGTGTCAGCTCCTCCATGCTTGTGGGGTCCTTTGGCAAAACTATAACTTTTTGGACAGTTCCTCGATCTAGAAGTGAAAAAAAAATGTTCCTTAATTAAATGTTCCTCGTTTTGTCAAACTGATTCATCATCAACCCTGTAGCTGCCTCACCTGTCCCTAGGAAAAGCACCTCATAGCGTCCGTCCACAGCATCCACCTGATCCACCACCATGGCTGTGAAGCGGTAGTCAACGCCGGTCCTCACCACCAGGGGGCGGCGGTGGACGGGATAAACTGGATGGTACATGAGGGGATGAGCTCTGATAAAATTCACAGCCTCGTCTGAGAAGTTCTTGGACGAGCGGATACCAGGAGTGAAGGTTCCTCCTGGACACTGGATGAAAAGAGAAACACAGTCATATATATGTGCAGATTAAAATGCGTGTGCTTTTTTTTGGATCGCATTCATTTGGAGATTACACGACTGAAACGTACTGTGCCAGGCCGGGGGTAGGGTATCTTGCCAGTGTACTCTGTCCACTGGTAATTATGGCCGTGTTTGTGGGCGAACGGTCCATTGAAGACGTTACGGATATCAGCCATCGAGTACACACAGACGGCTGAGCCCTTGAACACAGAGCTAGAGCAGAAAAAAAAGACAATAAGGGTAATTTAGAGCAGCAATTACAGCGTGAATCATTCACAAAAAAATGTGTGATGAGGGCGGAAGTAAGGTGTGAATTTGTCAACCAAAAACAACTCACCCGGCTGTGGTGAAGAGAGCGTACACCGTTGGGTTCCGTTCATCCTGCGTTGGCTGAATAAACACATCGCCTGCGAGATAAAAAAGACACAAAATCAATAACAGGAAGGTAAAAGCAGCTGCAATTAAAATGCTATCAGTTTAAAGCCGGAGCTGTTTTCATTGTGGCCTCACGTAGTTCATCAAATCGTGTCTCCACTCCGTCTTCTCCGATCACTGAACAGATAAGACGGGCCTTGAGGAACGTCGTCCAGCGGTTCACCAGGGACTTCTGCCCTCCTTCATCATTCTAGACAGGCAGGAAATTGGGTCATGGCTTTGATTCTTACAATCGCTTTCATTTCACAAGGTAAGATAGATCTATTTTTATTACAGATAGATTCTTTTTCTTCTTTTTTTTTGGCTCACCAGACACACTCTTCCCACCCGGGCTAAAACGCTGGGGCTCGCCCCGCCGCTCGAGTCCAGAGTCTTCTCACGGAAAAAAAAGTAAAGTTTGTCGTCATTTCTTTCTGCACTGTCAGGGATCTGCTGGATCTGAACAAACACCGGCTCTAGGAGGATGAAGACACATAAGAGTGGAGAGGCTTTAGCAAAGCGGTTGTCAAATAAAATGAGAGGAACCATAACCTGTAATCAGAGACGTTTGCCTCCTCACACCCACACTTACTCACCGTTGAGCCACCTGGAGTCGTACTGCTCTGTCCTGATTGCTGTTCTGCCTCCCATGGTCCTAAACAGAGCAGCATCTGTACTCATGAAGTCGATATGGACGCCTGCATACAGGTTACCATCTGTGAAGTGAGAAAACAAGAGAAGAGGGTGAATCTCTCAGGAGTGAGACATTTAGATTTTGTGCTTTTTCTGCATCAGAATGAAGCTTACTGAGCAGAACTGCAACGCTCTCCTGTTTGGGATCATAGGAACATTTTCCCTTCCCTGAATCCACATACCCAGCAACCAGCCTAAACAGGTAGTCCTGCAGAGACAGGAGAGACAGGAAGAAGATGCATTAAAAATAGACGTCACAAGGGAACATGGGAAAATCGTAAACAAATCACTGTCCCAGTTTGTAAGCCTGAAATATTTATCAGGGCGAAAGCTTTCCAAGCCGCCTGCTGCTGCGGCTTGCTGCTGCTGAGGGATTTTTGCGGTAAATCTCACTCTGGGGGAAATGTAAACGTCTTTGTGTTCACCTCTGCCCTCCAGCCTCGGTTGATGAATGTGCAGATTGGCTGGTACGCCCCCGTCCCACAGGTGTAGAGGTGGGTGCGGTTCCATGGCTCTATCAGGCGCACAAAGTTGGCACATTCACCCTGGACAAAGAGGAGTAAGACAAGTGGAATTCAAACATTGTGCCTGCCTTGAAAAGCAGACGTCTTGTTTTGATAACGAAAAAAAAGGAACCGGATGTAAATACAAGATCCTACCTGTCTTCCCTTGCCCGTCATCTGACATTCTCCCTTTCTCTTCGCCGACGCAGGCCAGTGGATCTGTGTTTGTGAAATACTGGATTATTGAGGATCACTGCATTCAGAGACTTACTGCCACATACCAAATAGCAGACTGGATTTGCGAAACAGGAAGGTGGTGGAGTTTGTACGCACTATAAGAGGCTCCTTGTTGACGTTGTGCATGTCGAGAGCCACCAGGTACTCGCGGCTGCCCAGGTACAGACGGCCCTGATCCTGATCCATCAGCAGGATGCGGTAGTCGCTGGTGTTGAAGGAGAAGCTGAAGGGTCGAGCTGCTTTTGTGTCCATCAGTTCTGTGTGAAGAGTGTGGCAGCTTTTGTTAGTCAGTCCAATCGTGTTACAGTACAGGCTCCAGATAAAAGACAACAGAGAGCATACATGACATATGACAAAACAGAAAGATTTCAAGGATAAACGAAGCAGGAGGTGGCAGAGGCTACGTGAAGTGCAAAACTTCCCAACAGTACCATCTTCTTTAAATCCTTGACTGCACTTTCAAGCATAGCTATTGCACTTTATATTTATTTAAACCATTTGAGTGAAACTTCTTAACGAACAGTGAGTTTTTATATTTTATATTTCTTGGTTGTATTTCATCAGATTGTGTTGCACTGTCCTTTGTCTGTTTATCTGTTGTGTTTTTGTGTCCACTGCTGCAAATCAAATTTCCCTTCCAGGGACAATAAAGATCTGAACTGAACTGAACTGAACTGATTCCATTCATACACATTCACACTCCACTTAGTGTAGCAGAGGGGACAATTTGGGATTCATTGTCTTGCCCTTGGACATTTGGACATGGCACTGTTGGAGCTGGGAATTGAACCCCCAACTCTTGGTTGAGAGACTGAGCCACAGCTGCTCAGTGGTACGGTTATAAATATCAATGTATTACAAAAAGCCAACTGCTCAGATGTATATCTAATCATTTCATTTTCTGAGGCTTAAACTACCAAATCAATTTGTATTAAAAGTTTGAACGTATGGACTTGTCCGGTCACAAACATTTCTCTTGACTCAGTGGAGTGTCCACGACTTTTTAGATGGGGTGGGCACTTTCTTGTGCGGGGGGGAAGGGGGGGGGGGGGGGCACGACTTGTGCTCACACACGTCCAATTTCTGTCCCCGCTCGTTGTATCTTCTCTAAGAAGATTAAGGTATCAAACAGTTGTTGTGTTCCTGTGGACATGTTTTTTTTTTTCCTTATTTAAAAATACTACACTGTGAAAGCAAAGACGTCTTCCACACTTAATTCCTTAAGGACTCAAAGAGAAGAAACATAAAAAAAAATAATAATCTGTGCTACATAAATGACACAAAAATCTAAACAAGCAGCCTTTGGTAAGGAAGCCGAATATGTTCATTTAAACTTTAAGCCAGGTCTCTCACCAGGCAAATAGTCAATCACAGGTCGCTTTAGAAGTATTCTCAAAAGATCGTCATGTGCTACTTGAGGTCTCTGCTCTTTTTATGCAGTTTGCTCAAAGGTGTGCAGTATGGTGTACAATAAGCTCAAAACAAACATCCATATCATCTTTAAACTAAATGCGCTGAAATTCATCATCATCATCATCAAGCTTCTCAATATCATCCTCCGTCATTCATTCTGTGACTTAAAAAAAGAAAATAAGAAATTCCGCCCATCACAGATACCAACCTTATAAGAGGACAATCTGAAGTGGGGAAAATGACGACCTTTATGCTCTTTGGTGTGACTGATCAAGACAACTTTGTTATCGGCGACGCAATTGATATGTTATCCCACAGAAGAAAAAAAAAGTCAGAAAATGCTTTAGACGAGCACTATTTAGAGCAAAGAAGACAAGATCTACTTAACACATCGGATAGTTCACTTGATTAATACCAATCATGAACCCAGTGAAGGTTTTTTAATAACTTGGACTGATCATAAACAGAAAGGTCTCGTTAAAAAGAAGAAAAGGAAACAGCACTTGGCAAACTAATAGCAGAGGGAGCAGAGGGAGCAGAGGGGGGGGGGGCAGAGGGAGCAGAGGAAACAGGGGTTACTTCTCTAAACCTTTCACATAATTCCCTTTATGCCTTTAACATGTTTCATTACTGACTTTGCTGAACTTGTGGCCTCCTTAACAACACCCTTCTCACTTCTTTTTCTGGAAAATGTGTGTCACTGAATAAATATAACTCAACTTGGTGCATTTTAAGAAACATATTCGCTTTTAAGATCTCAATATTTTATGTGTCCTGCCTGTGCGATTGAGTTTGAGGCACCACGTGCCCTGCAGAGTTGGGCGAGAAAGCAGGTCCCTTAGGGAACACGGTCAGTGGAACTCGCAGCTAATTCTCAAGATCAGGATTGTGTTCAGCAGAGCGTAACCTGTTAAGACACGCCGCGGTGGAAAATGTTTCTTTTTCTTTTTTTTGTTCTCCTGAAAGCTTTGATTGAACAATTTTCATCTGCTGTGAGGGCTGCGTGCTGCACTCTGCAGCCTCTGAATGGGACTTCTTTTCCCATTCTTCCGTCCAGCTATGCTTCGCTTCATTTAGGAACACAAAAAGCAGCACACAGTCATCACACAATATGTTCCGACATTGTCCGGCATGTTTGCACTTTGGGACACAGCGTAAGCACGGGCAAAGGCAGCGGGCTTATGAAATGACAAATGTTCACAGAGACCCCGTCAGAAGCTGGCTTACAGGGATTCGAGCAGGAAGCACGATCTTTATTTACATCAAAGTGCCCGCCATCTTCCCTTTTGAGGTCAATGTTAACAGGATGTAGTCAAGGTGCGACTAAAATAAGATATGCAATCGGATCTCCGGACAACACGACGCGGCGCCGCGGAGGAGGTAACGGGGACCCGGTCCTGTTCCTGAGAGGTAAACACAGGATAACAAGCCTCTGGACGAGCTCCACTGGGCCGTAGTGGATTCACAGAGGGGGGCTAAATGTAGAAACACCACACCCCTATACATGTCTCCATCCTCCAAAAATAGAAAACAATGTACTGCCATCATCTGGTAAACATTCAGCTAACACTTATCCCCTGACAGCATAGTGACACTGACAGGGAAACACTGGGAAGGACGTACAATTCAAGCATGGCGCTTCAGCCGGGCCTCTATTATAAGCTCTCGTGTTACAACTTGACAACATATTGTCACTGAGGCTCTAATGACCACTCCTGTTTAGTCCCCGGCCTATCTCAAGTATGAACAAACTGGTGACAGCACATCGAGGGCCTGGGATTCTGTAACAAGGCTTTAATTACGCTGCACATTTTGCTCTCTAGCAATGCTGAGTAATTCCATCAAATGAGGCCGAGGGAAGCCCTTTGAAGTGCGTGTAAGTGACACAACCTCCCAGCGACAGAGGAAACAATGCGAGAGCTGTATCCTCCTGGGTGTCACTCAGGCCGGCTCATTTGTTCAGAAGAGTCACATGTCCTGTAGCCGCTCCGAGGAAAACCTCCTCCACAGGCGCCTCGGGGGGGGGGGAACAAAGGGACCCGGTGTCACAAACAATGAACAATCAATCCTCAGGGTGGCAGAAAACAGTTGGCCAGTAAGTCCAACTTTTTTTCATTTTTGTTTGGGATCATAAGGGGAAAGGGTGAGTGAGTCATTCAAAGCGGCTGTAAACTTTATCAACACTCTGAGACATCAACAGATGCTCAGGAGGAGTTACCATACATAGATATCTACGAGGAGAGCGCCGTGAATTCTCGTATCTCTCACAGGGAGGAACACATCGAGTTCAAGACCAAACTTGTGTAATTGGTCAGACTGCTACTTTCAGCACCAAGCTTGTGCGAAAAAAAAAACAAGAAAAAAAAAACCTCGGGTGTGTATAAGCTGTTTACTGCAAAGGGATTAGTGTTAAAGTTCATATAAAAAATGCACTGAAAAAAGTCTCACAAGCCGCAAGAGGGACTCGAGCTGTAAACAAAAAGCCACACACAGAGTGTAGACAGCTGTTTCCAGTCACACAAAATCCGCTTGATTCAGAACAGCAATGACACATCTCATGATTAGCTCACCTTTAATTTGCATCAGATGTCTCTCACTGACATTTTGCGAAACTCCGTTCTTCGCTGTTTGTTTTCTTTGTTTTTCTTTCGATAATTTGGCTCCACGGCTCTGTCCCTAAGAACAAGGCTTCTTGATCTCTCTATGTACGAGAGGTTACACGTGTATGTACAGGATACTGTTTTTTCTTTTGAGTTATCTGCCTTGCATAATCTCAATTCACACTTTTTACACATTTAAAAAAAAAAAAAAAAACAGGGACAATGAGAAGGAAAATGTCTCAAGCCATGCTGTCTATTTACTCTTGACCCTTTCCCCTTTGTAATTTATTATTTCATGTTCATAGTCTGTTTAAGTGTGGCGCAACTAAACCATTGCCACACACTTCAGCATTTACAGCCTAAGCTTATTTGTGAAGCCCATCCCTAGATGGTCCTCTAAAAGACAAAAAACTCAACAACAGATTCACATAAAACAGAACCAAACAGCCAGAACAGTACAGGATACAAACAACTACCAAACAGGAAGAGCACGATCATACATGACTACAAGCAGTGGCCATTCTGGAGTCTATTGGGGCCCTCGGCAATAACCAATTGGGGGCCCTCCTACCAGCGTTCATCACCATCATGTCGGCCTTTGTCCCGACGATTCCTCCTCTTCCTCTTTTTTTTCCTGTTTCTTTTTTCTCTCCTATAGACGGATCATTCCTCCTGTTTTTTATTTGTTGACTTTCATGGACAAACGTTTGGTTTTCACAGCAATAGTGCAACGCTTAGCAGGGCAACGACAGTGAGTGCTGTCAGATGGGGGGCCCCTTAGGGGAGGTTTCCTACTGTCGTTGCAAAATTAGCCCATTTTGGGTCACTGCTTTTGTTTAAGTTTGGGCCCCCTACTGTTCTGGGGCCCCAAGCAGTTGCCTGTTTTGCCTGTTGACATGCAGCGCCTCTGACTACAGGACTGAGTCGTCTTAAAATGACTCCAGTCTGCTCCCAGTTTGAGCTCTACAGTTAAAGAGCTCCACTGATTGATCCCCTGAACAGGAAAGGCTGTTTGTCCAAGTGGACATTAAAGAAAGGCAATGGCACCTCACAGTCTCCATTAGACGCTCCACACGTTACAGAGCCTGATGATCTAAGTGGAACCGAACCACAAGGTCACCGAGCACCCGAGGAGCCTGACGATGTAAACGTTTATGGATGAGTTTAAGAGAGTTAATTTACCTTCCTCTGAAGAAAGACAGAAAGAAAGAATGTTTTTTCTTCTTCTGTGTAACAATGACGTGAGTTTGAACAAGATGAGACACCGAACACGCCGTCACTGCCTGGACCTGATTCAGGACCGCAACATCTTTTGACTCACCTCCGCATGAAAGCACCAGAGAATGTTACAAAACTGATTCACGCCTCTAATTCTCACTTACAGGTACTTCAGGTGTGACGTCTGTGTGTTCGTGCTTGCAGCGACAGCATGACGGTGATGCAGAAATAACTGTTATCATGCAGCATTGTTTTGATCAAAGGTGCCATTGAAATATCTGTAACCTGAGTCTCTGCTGTGAGATTTTAATGGGCAAACGGAGCAGACTGCATGGGAAAATCCCAAAATTCCAACAAAAAAGGTCTTAAAACCCCTATTCATCGAACATTTTCAACCCTGCGGCCAAAAGAAATTAGAGCACCAAAGTATCATTTTTACTCTTGCGATCAAATTTCAGGTGTTTCCTTTTTGTGTCATCACGTCAAACACCAAAAAACAAAGAAGAAGAGACGGGTCAGGCTGGAGTGTGTGCTGGTTTTAGGGTGTGAGGAAGAAACTTGGTGGAAGGGCACAAGCAGTAACCCACCACACGTAACATCCACCTTTTGTTTTCAGTGCTGGACTGTTTGACATGAGGCAGGAAACACGCTCTTTACATATGTTACAAGAGGAAACAAAAAGTGCTGGTGTGGATGTGCGTGCGTGCGTGAGTGTGTGACTTTGTGGGAAACAAGTAAGAGAAATTATGACAATCCCTGCTGTCAGGGGAGTTAGAGTTAATCGGCACGAGCTCACCTTTGAAGGAGAGGCGAACCCGCGGAGCAGACTGCTGCAGGGCCGAGCCTCTGTAAACACACAAGGCCAACAGGAGGAGTTGGGCTCCAGATGCTGTCATGGTAACAGTCATGCAGGTAGCCCACAGAGATCTAAATCTGGAGGAGAAAAAAAAAGAAAGAGGAATGAACTATTATTACAGAGCGCCCCATGAGAAATGGGAGACAGAAAAAGAAGGAAGGACAGAAAAGAGACTCTCTCCCTCCGTCTCTCTCTCTCTCTCTCTCTCTCCCTCTCTCTCTTTCTTTTTCTCTGATCTCTCTCTGATCAGAAGTTTGGCCTGCAGCCTTCCAAGGCGAGACGTATAGTTTGGCAGGACGGAACAACGTCCAAATCTTCACACCTGCTCTGGAAAATATGACAGGCCTATTATTTATTTAAAGTGTAAATGTAGTGAGGTATGTGTTGAGACTGTAAAAAAGGCACCTGCAAGCACATTCTCGTGGAAAAAGTCTGAAAAAGGTGATTAATGTCTCCTTGTCACCTGGTGCATGTTCTTAAACATGTTGTGCCTGCTTAAACATATATTTATACACTTTTTTAATAGACGAGTGATTAAAGAAAGGCTCTGGTGCCCATCAGCAATTCACCTTGCTTCTCTCTCAACAAAGCATGTCAGCGCTCCTCCAGGAGTTGACGACTGAAATACATGACAGTTCAAAGAAACAGGTAGTCTGCGCTGAAACAATTTCTGACAGTTTAGGGGTGTTGAAACGTGGCCTAACTGTTAGACCTTAACTCAAGCATTCATTATGCATCTGCACTTTGCTGGAGAGGATCCCATATAAATTATGAATACTAAAAGCTGAGTCCACAACATCCATTAAATTGTCTCCCTGAAGGTGTGCTTTGCTCGGGCTATAAGCCATCCCGCGGGCTTTTTTCTTTTTTCTCATGGCGTCCATGTAGCCCCGGCCTCCGGTGGCACAAGGTACAAGCCTGGAAAAATGAGGGCTTTTAGGGAGAGGCATTCATGCAGAAAAACAAGTGAGAGATTTCACAAAATGATTTCATTATGTTTCACAATAAGGGAAGGATTTATGTGCACCACATTATATGAAAAATATGTTTCCCCGAAAAATATGAACATTGTGATGAAAGTGAAATGACTGGCATGCCTGAACGTCTAGAAATTGAAAACAGAAGCCAAGGGGAACGCCTTGCAGGCTTCCTGGCATAATCACACAGTTGCCATATATCTGCTCACCAGGGGAGCTTGATCTCGATTCCTCCCATCAAACACTGTGTTCACTGCTGATATCTGTTGATCGCTATAGGGGAATCAATTTGAAAGGTTTAAGAGTATAGGACTGTTAGTAAATGCTGGAGCCTATCACCCACATCATTAAGTGAAATGTTTGATGTTTGAATGTCTTTCCACCCTCTAACTGAATATCATGTACATTATGATCACGCTGCTGTGTGACAGCTGCATTTGTTTCTTTGCATTTTCTGTAATTTAGCTGTAACCTGGTGAAACTATTTAATTTGACGAGGCGTTTACCTTGTTAAAACAAGTCATGTACATGTGAAAAACTATACCAACGCAGAGTAGGTCACAGAAGATGAAGTGGACACACATCTTTAGTCATGTAGCATCACAAGCATTTCTCAACAAAGGAAATCATCGCCAATTAAAACAGCTCTTGATCATCTAGGAATTAAACTGGACCAAGCATTTGTATGCATGAATGAATAGTGTCACCATAAACATGAACTAATCAGAGTAAAATGTGCTAATGAACACCTCAGAGGCATTTTCATTTCCTATTTGAATATTCTGGTTTTTTTTAAATGGTACAGCAACAGGGCAAAATGTATCAGAATTATTAACACTCACACATGTTTTTTTTATTTACTGTAAATGTAAAAGACAAAATACAGTTTCCTTTTAAGTAATCCTAAATATATATTTTTTAAAATCACAAATCAGGAGCTACAGCATAAAAATATGCCTGCAGGGCTCCATGTATCGTGGCCTGATCGTGGGCTACTTATTTCTATGAATGACGGGATTTCTGCTGGTTTTTCTGTGTTGGGTGGTACCGTCAGATCAGACTAAAGTTCAGCTGTAAAAACACATGGTGTCCCTTTAGAGGAAAAATAATTATAGGATATCTAAACCCAGTTCTCTTACCCGCGGACGAGTGCGCACTTACCTGTGAACTCAACATCCCGAAATAGGAACGGAACAAATGTGTGCAGGACTTCGGTTAAATAGCATTCAGAGTGACAGAGTAACCGGCCACAAGTTAAAAGTTAAACCAGAGAGAAGTTGAATGTCTTACCTTTGAGTTGGGACTTGCTTGATACGCGTTTGGGATCCAAAAACTTGCTGGATGTTAGCGCTGCATTCCCCGTGTTTTGTGCCTCGGAGCTGGGTTAAAAAAAAAAAAGAAAATCTCCTCCAGTAAGAGACGGAGCAGCTCTGCGCAGGCTTAAAACAATCCGATAGGTTTGGGAAAAAAATTCCCCTGGAGAGAAAGAAAAAAAAAATGTAAGCCTAATAAGTCGCTGTAAACCGAGTTTCTTCCGTGAAACAATAAAAAAAAAACACACACACACACTACTGGTCCTTGAACACGTCTTCCACTATTTCCAAAAGTTTACGCCTGGATTGGAAGGAGTCATATGAAGGATGTGAGAAAGATGTTGGTCCGCTGATCCTTGGGTTGGAGTGTGAATCAAGTGACCAGGTGCAGGTGTTGAGAGAGAGAGAGAGAGAGAGAGAGAGAGAGAGAGTCTGCCCTGCTGTCCTCTCCCTTCTGTTCTGCCCCCACCCAGCCTTCCCTCTTCTGTTGGCCCACAGCAGCATTCGACCAAACCTCTTGGTACACCATATGGGTATGATTAACCCTGTCACTGCTGGTTAGTACAACACATTAAGCTTGTATCAGAAAAAAATGTCGTACTAACAATGGCATAGTTTGAAAAGTATATTCAAGCAGAATTATTGAGTTAAATGGTGATGTAGGCTACATAGAGCAACTGCTGTATAGGCTATTGAATGCTTTTCTCATGCACCAGCAGGGCCACAGTCTATTCTTATACATGATGCAGGGACTTGAATACACTATTAAAGAGGAGCCGGCGCTGCCACTCGGACAGTGTCACCATGAGAGCCAGGTCAGCCGAAAAAAGATTCCTGGGATTCCTTCTCCTGCTGGCTCCAGCACTCATGACAACAGTGACAAAGCAACGAGAAAGTGGGGGGGTAGGGGGGGTGGACGTAAAGGACATCCATCCTGTTCACAGGAGCCTTGAGCTTGAAATTAAAAGACAGCTTTCAGAGCTCATCGTTACTGGCTTTGTTGTGAGCTGTGACGCAGTATGGTGCTCTAAAGACACAGAGAGGATGAATGTATTCTCAGCCCGACAGTAAAATGGGATTTAAACACATGAGGCAATGTGGTGTGTCAGTGTGTAAAAGGTCATAGAGGAAGGCAAGCCCCACAGAGATGTTGATTATTACTACTTTTTTTTTTTTTGTTTTGATACCATTATCAGTAGACTATCATTTAACTTTTAATTTTTCTTAGAAAGTAGTCTAGATAGCCAGTTAACAGCCTGTTATCCACCCAATAAATCAACTGCTTAATGCAAATCATTGTAACAAGAACAATCAACTAGGCCAGGGTTGGGCAACTGGCAGCCCGGGGGCCACAAGCGGCCCCCATCAACCCTCAACGTGGCCCCTCAGGTTAATTTTGACATATCAATTAATTGGAACCATGAAGAAAAGATGACAAAATCTGCCATGAAATCATGAAAACCAGAAATATGTCCTTGATAATATTTAATCACTGGTATATGTTGAGTTCAATTTGAGACATAATTGACTGTAATCATTTTTTGTATTCTACAATTTGGCCCCTCTGGCAGTGAGAATCAAATGAATGTGGCTCCTTGCTGTGACCAAAGTTGCCCCCATCCCTGAACTAGGCGATCTGATGCTAGAAAGAGTGGTGTTATAAAATGTCAGCAAACAGTGTTTTCTACCTCACAGCATGTTTTATCTGTAATAACAGAATTCAATTTAAGAGTTCAATCATTACTGTAGCTGTAACTGATAGGCTACGGCTCACTATACAGCTAGGCTATCTAAATTCAACTCTTATAGTAAATATTTAACTATCTTATAGCCTATTATCGCCAATAGATTAGTCACTACAGATAACTTTAAAACCAAGTTTTCCTAGCTGACATAGGCTACTGTATAACCATAAGCTTAGGCTATGAGTATGTAGCTTATATTCCTGCTAGCCAGCTAAAGAAAGATAGCCTAAGTCACATTAACTTGAGAATTCACCCACTTACTACTTAACATTAGCCTACCGTAGCCATATAACCATCAGCTATCTTACATTTAGCCAGATAAAAAAAAACACTTTAGCCAGATAAATGTGCTGTTTGCTTGTTAAGATTGTGGCTCGCTTGAAGTATCCTAAGCCATAATTCTGTCTAAAGTTGTAATGGTGTCAGTCGGCTATGGACCAATGAAGGTATCAGGGTCATTTTTAGAAGTAAAATAGGTTTTTAAAAGATCTGCTGTTTCAACATTCTCTGGTTGAGTCACTGAGTGTGTAAGCTGTGACCTTATCTTAAATTGGGTATTAGCCAGTTGTGATACAGGGGTTGCTGTGTCAAGACGACGTGTCCAGGAGGGAGTCTTTGTTTCCTGCCCCACAGGAGGCATCTATCTGTTTCCAGCTGAGGAAATGAGTCAAAAGTGTGTTCCAAGTTCAAGTTTCCCTGTGTACTTTACTTTGGCCGTGGACACTGGCTTACAAGCTCTTATTGCTTCATAAAACACCTCTTAACGTCATCTGTAGCCTATCTCTCTCCCATACCTTCCTGTGGTCTTATCTGGCCAGCACGCACCCTACACTGCCTAACCTTGCTAACGAGATAGCAACAGCGCTATACCCTCATCTGTGAAATGAGTATTTTTGGTACGAGGGGCAGGAAATGTGCGTCCAAACAGGCATCCAACATGATGGATGGATTTTTAGTATCGTGGAGACAGACAGTGTTGGATTAGAAAATAAACACTGAGTCTGTTTTTCTGTTCCACAAAAAGCTCTGTCAGTAAGATCTCCTCGTCTAATGGATAGGTAACGTGAAAAGGGAGGTAGACATTTATCCCTGTAGGCCAAGAAAAGGCTCTGGATAAATCCCTGGCCCTCAGACGCATCAATCATGACAATTCTAGGGGCAGAGGATTGTCCCCTAGAGGAAAAACAACCCACTATTTGACCTGCTGATAGTCTTTCTAAGAGTTTATTGATGAATTGAAGAGTGTTTGAACATGCCTGTTTTAGAAAAGCTAGTCCTGGGCGTCACCAATGCATGGTGGGATAGACTACCTTGACCCTGAGGGGAAATGGTAGGGAGGAGAAAATAAGGGTAGAATTATTCTCCAGGATTATTTTCTCTATTTACAACCAGAACACCGCTCACATAAGCCTTCTAATTATTATCTTACAGGTCAGGAAAAAATGTAAACACCAAAATGCAAGATAAGCACAAAGGGAACAGGTGTGTGTGGTGTGTGCATGCGTGTGCATGTGTGTGTTTGTGTGTGTGACATGCATGCGCTTCACACACCAGTGATTATCAAAGGCGAGCTACTTTTGAAAACGTCTCCGACATGAAGGGCGCATACGTGGCCGCGCATTCCAGTCGCAGCTCGCCTGCTTCACTCTCACCATATTAAACGTGAGGTGATTGCAGTTTTAAAGATATACAGGAATACTGTAGCTGTACCTCCCTGAGATGGAGCACCGTCTGGAGTCATCCAACATGCCACGTGTCCAGCAGGCCAGCCAGCCACCATCTGCCTTGAAGACAAGACTGGCACTCTCTCTCTTGCTATAAAATGCAGCTGGGAGAATCAACAGCTGTCGAAGAAGAGCTCTTTCCAAATAATGAGTGTGTGGAAGGGAGGAAGGTATGGATGGAGGTAGGGTTACTTAAAAAGAGGACAGTAAGGATGTGAAGCGGATGAGCGAAAGTATAGTCATTGTGTCTTAATTGCCAGCAGTTTTGCAAAACCTTTAAGTGGTTAAGGGTGAAGTGTCCTAAATAAACAAAATGTGTTTTGTCTTCAGCGCCATCTTAACCTCTAATCACCATATTCACATAAAAGCAACTTTAGCTCAAATTTGTGTTTAGGGTCAGATTGTCAAATGTGAGGGCGCTTGTAGCCTAGTGGTTAGTGTGTACAGAGGCTATTAGTCCTCCATGTGGGCGGTCCAGGCTCCCTTCCTGCATGTCGTTCTGTATTCTCTTTCTCCCCAGTTTCTGGCTCTATCCAATATCCTATCTCTCTAATAAAGGCAGAAAAAGCCCCAAAATATAGCTTTAAAAAAAAGAACGTCAAATTTTTTTATTAAAACGATGTAATGTAAAATTTCCGTGTTCCAATTTTGGTTGCGGCTCTCAAACTAGCAGCATACAATTAATAGTAAATGTGCTTTTATACGTTTTACATGTTTTCAATTTATAATAAAATGCCGTAGTTGTTTTAGTGATGAACTGATATGTATGTTGTTGTTGAATTCTATTCACAAATATCGACAGTCATGCCAGCTTAATGATAGCTATTCAACATAGCTCCGACCTGGAAATTTGTCAAGTGACCAGTAATTTAGTATTTTGCTTACAGCATACTATTTGTTGGATTAGAAGGTAGTATGCAGTACGGTTTTTGTGGTTTCGGACAGCCTATCAAATTGTAATGCTAGATAAAAAATGGTTGTAGGCTAACTTACTGTTGCCTAATGGTAGCTAAAGAAAAGTATGTTGATTTCCTAATAACGCTGATTCTCTTTGTCCTGTTTTTCCTGTAACAGAAGCACGACATTTAAACAGCAGCTAGCTTCATTGTGAGCGTGACAGAAAAAAATTGTTATGTGTGTTAATGGTTAAAGTTACAGTGTTTGTGGTCACAGGCTGAAAAAGGAATCTGTCATGCTGTAAAATAAAAGTGAGATTCGAGTGCATGTTGCTTGATCTTGGCGGCATACTTGTATTCCATAATGAGTGCATGCAGACACACATCCCACACATGCACACACACACATGCACCACACACACACACCACACACACACACACACACACACACACACAGACACATGTACAAGTTCTGAAGCTTCAATTAAAAAACTGAAATAGAGTTGCAGGCACTATCTTTTGGAAGTTAAATTTGTATGCCAACATACATGTGAATTGAGTTTGTTTACAGACATAGGATATACACACATACATACACTTGTGTACAAAACACAACACAACACACTGATGCACATGCTCTGCTGCTTCAATTAAAATAAAAACGATTTCTCTTATCTCCCTCCACACCCTTCCTTTCTCCTGCCTTTGAGCACATCCTTGAGACACCGGACTGCAGGTGAATTTCAATGTCAAAGTCATGAAGGTAAAGCAAGCGCTGCAATCTGTTCACTCTATCAAGTGGTTGTGTGTGTTTGTGTGTAGGTGTGCGCGTGCACCCATGTGTGTACTGTACGTGCAATGTGATTGGTGGGGGGTAGGCCTATTCATCTGTCTGGTGTGATGGTAGCTATGTGTAACTGGGCCTAGGCGTGAGTATGCACTCTGTGATCTCCCAGATAAGAGTCATCCATCTGCTGTGTGTATCTGTCAGGGCCCAGGCAGCTCCGCTTATCACTGCACTCATCCATTTCCCCTCAATCATACTCAGTCTATTCGCTCTGTTTTCACCTCTGCACAGTTCAAATGCTGTGCTTTATCTTGATTAGCTGACAAGCAGACAATCACGCATTGGTGCGCCGTAATGTTGAAAACCTGGGAATATCTAAGTGACGTGCAGCTTCTGCTAAAATGCATACATGCATGGAGGTGCATAAAAGAATGCAAGCTTTTAGAAGCAAGCCTTCAAGCACACACACAGTCCACAGATAAACCACCGAATCGGTTTGAGCCCCAGCCTTCAAGCCCTCCAAACTCCACTAGTGCCTTGGCTTGAGATCATTTTATAAGGTTATGTACATATACTGTAAATATGTCGCTATAAGCATTATTTGTTTGTTATTGAAAAGACCATTGTCATTAAACTACCAGTGCGGAGTGTCATACATGAAAGTGGCTATATGCAATTTTGGCAACAATCTTGTGTAAAGAAAGGAAAAACAACAAAACAAAGTGCATATTTATTGATATGTTATAAAATAAAAGTTATCTAAAATAATAGATAAAGGTTTGAAAAAATCAACTTAATATTCAGTAGTTGAATTTATCAACTCTGATGAACACCTTTTCAATTTTCTGAAAGAAAGAAAGAAAGAAAGTCTGTTAGGAAGCTGTATAATTGTGTAATTGCATCCAAATCTTCCTTAATGGAAGAGGCCGTTGATCTGACTGAACACGTCGTTACATCTGAACGATAAGTTAACTACATCGAACGTGTTAAATTAGTTGATTTTTACAGTAATGTGTAACATTTAACATGATGGATAGTCTGTCGTTATGAGTTGTATTATTGTAAAACATAGTGGGAATTTAGAATGTGTGGCCCTTGTCCCCCAAATAGTTGTTGCACGTCTCTGCAAACGGGTAGTTAGTATTCAGGTGTCCTACCTCTACCTATCAGATTATCCATTGTAGATGTGCCCCAGAGAGCAGCACAAGCTCTTTTAATGTTCCACCTTACAGGAGAAAATATCCTTCATGACATCAATCACAGATGAAGAATTCACTGCTGGGTGTTACCTTTCCATTTTTCACTCCACAGTGAATCCTTCAGAGAAGCAGATTCTTACCAGGAAGTAGTTTCTGACACGCGGGAGCATGAAGCAGCATGACAAGATGATTTGTGTACAGTAGCAACACAGGCTTAAACCAGGGGAGTGTAGTTTACATGGGGGAATCCTTTTAGGCCTCTGCCTCCCCACACATAACAAAGACTTCACAGACAACCCGCAGACCACAAAGCAGCCCGAGGACGGCTTTGTTGTCCCAGCAATCTGTACTTAGTTTGTCATGATCAATATTGTAGGAACCAAGCTCATTATTAATTCATAGTCATAAAAACATGTTGTGCTCCCTGAATAAAGCTGCTTCAAAGAGGAGACAAATGCTGCATTTCACGTGGGAGCATTTCATGGGGTAGAAAGCATCACCAGTATTAATAGTATATGCCCATCCTAGACTGCATACCCTGGGTGCTGCTGGGCCTACAGCACGACAGGTTTTTGCCGGTGGAATATTTATAGCTGTGCATTAAAAGTGGAATCAAGGGTTTAAGTGTACCGTTGCAACACCGCTGCCGTTCCTTTGTCTGGGCCTGTCCAAAAATGTCTTGCCTGGAGCTATTTGCAGTGCTACATTCAAAATGTCAGATATCACAGGCTGGCGTCATATCAAAGACGGAATAGATTAAAGAACAGCTGTAGCTCAGTGAGTCCCGTTTGATTTGTTAACGTTGCAGCTGAGCATGACAGAGGTGTGACTTTTACGTCAATGAGTCACACGTTTTTTTTTTTTTTATTATTAGGAGTTCTAAGAATCGGAGACACTTGAGCTGAAATATGGTGTCATTATTTCTGATCCATGTACATGTTGATGCTTAACTACTGGCTTCAAAGTACTCTAGGCTTACTGTATTCACTCGTAAAGAAAATTAACACCTTGTTTAAAGGGCTCTGACAATAATCTGATTCACACTGCCATCTTGTGGTTCTTTTATACACCAGTACCTGAAACACAGTTTTAAAAAAAGGTTCCTTCTCCATGGGCAGCAGTAGCTCAGTCTGTAGGGACTTGTGGTGGGAACCGGAGGGTTGCAGGTACCAAAATATGGAAGTTGGAGCCCCACTCTGACATCTCTCCACAAATGCATGTCCACAGGTTCTGTTTCCTCATGCGTGTCATTTCCCTGTGATTAATAAATTAAATATATTTAACTTTTTTTTAAATCCACATGCACATTACACTTTTCACTCACCCACTCTCTTACACTACTGACACCCAAACTTCTTCTCCTTTGTAATTTAATCAGTTTTATGGTTATTTCGGTGTCTCTCCCTTTATTTGTCATGGCCGAGGACTATATCCTTTTAATTGATAACTTTATAAAACGTTATTTCCTGACTTTTGTCTTAACTATGTTGATATCTGCTCCTCTCCTGTTAATTGTATGAACTGTTTGTTTACTTTGCTGCTCCTTGTGAAGCACTCGGTAAACTTTTTTTTTTAGCGTTCTGTAAAAAGTATTTCATGTAAAGCACAACAGACAACAAAGTGAAACAACTACCTATTTTATTAGGTCGAGTCAAAAGGTAGACATTTATCTTTAAGCAAACAAAATCAAACCAAAGCAACAAACAAGAAGGTATCCTTAAACTACGGTGTCCTATAAAACACAGCACACAAAATATACCTTTCTGATCATGTTTATGAAAAAAGTCCAGATTATTTGATAAATTTACCCATGAAACGTGTGTAATTGTCTCATCCAAAAGACAGAGGTGAAATATTATTTACAGGGACCTGCTGAGAAAAGGAAGCAAATACAAACACTAGAGTTTTGTTACAGTGCACCTCGTGGTGTTGGTGTGTGTGAAACGACATTTACCGACACTGCACAGAACGAAAGCCTTAATGTTATCATCCCGTCTTACACTTCATGCTCACAGGCATGCCATAATGTGGACATGTAGAAAAAAAAAAGAAAAAAAAAGCAATGTAATAAATACAGTCTTTTTTAAAAAGAAAACAATAACACAACAAATCTTTAAAAACACATGACATGACCTCAAATTGTAAATGTTTCAGAATGCAAATCAAAGTAAGTTAAAAATCCGGAGGTGAAAAATACAAAACTACTTATTGGAGGAGCATGTTACAAAAAAAGGGGAAGGGATCCACGGACACATTGGTCAAAGTACGCAGTGATTTAGAGATCAGAGATTGGATAAAATGGGTCGGGGGGGGAGTTGTGTGTGAGAAGACTGAACATAGAGTTAAGGAGAACACAGGTAGCATATTTAAAAACAATATCTGGTCCTATTACTACAGTAGAGTACACGTTTCCTTATACACAGCCGACAACAACCAGAGTGTGAATGTGTGGAAATCAGTCAAGTCCGTTCAATCAAACTACCACCATGATCATCCCTGAGAGCTAATTTTGGTTCAGTGCTCAGTGCATCTGAAATGTACGGCCATCATTATTTCAATTTAGCTTTAAACAAGTTCATCTTTTGACACGTTGATTCTTGTAACAGACATAATTAATCGCCTTTAAAATGACCGCTGTTAATGCCACTTTAACTTTCTGCATTTTTTTTTTGTTTTGAAGAACATTTATTATGCCTTAAGTCGCGACAATCCCTCACCTATTCTCCCCACCGTGTGTGTGCATGTGTGTTTGTGTGTAGGCTTTGCAGTATGTTCCGCATCGACAGAGAAACACTACTTGAATGAGAATCGACAGGCACAACATGCCGAAGAACAGATTATTAAGAAAACAACAATTTGCAAAAAGAGTGAATCAGAGCACATCAGAATACACAGCACTGACTGTATAAAATAGAGGGGGAAACATGCTGCCTTGGCTTTATTATTACAGTTAACCCTGATTGAAAATGGTTTCTACCTGTTTTAGGTATAAAACAACAAAAAAAAAAAAAAAAAAAAAAAAAAAAAGATATTCTGTGCATAAAAATGACAATTAATTGCTCTGGGTCTCTTCCAAACCAGGCGTCCTCTTCATCCTCCTGGTCTCTGGTCCAATTCTCCTCCTCTTCCTCTTCTCAGGCCTCCTCCTCTTCGTCCTGTTCGCTGTCATCAGAGCCTAATGGATGAAAAATCGGTTAGAATTTCAACGCATCCTTGCTAATAGAAGATATGACCTTTGACTGCACCTGATTCTCTTTCAATTAGTCCGTCAAGTAAGATCGTAAAATAAGTTCTGACTAAGAGTTTAATAAAAAAAAAAAAAACAAGCTGAACTTTCATCCCCAGAGGTCGATAATCTATTGTTCATTTTCAAATGATACATTTGTCGCACTGCTGTTAACAGTGGTGTCTTACCGTCGATCACAAGTTCTCCAGCATCATCCTCCTCGCCCTCCTCTGGGCTCTCATCTGAGGGGAACATATTTCCTGTCTATTCAGTTTAGGCTGCATGACCCACACATTCCTATTTCAGCTACAACACAACCTGCTGAACGTGTAAGCTTACAAGCTCGTGCCCTCAGAATATCAGCAACAAAAAAAACAAAAAAAATACTGCGGATTTCCAAACACAACATGAAACAAAAAACTCACAAATCCAATTCACTCTGTGAAGTGGAACAGTGTCACTGTGCCCACAAGCCGCTGTGTGGACCAGAGGGGTTTTACTTTCTAACTCACCAGCGCTTGGCCCTTTTTCCTCCTCTTCTTCTTCCTCCGCCGCCTCCTCTTCATCCTCCTCTTCCTCCTCCTCCTCCTCCTCCCGACTGTGACCTTGATCAGCCTCCCCAGCGTCCTCCCCGGGCTCCTCATCCGAGTCAGAGATCACGACACAATCGTCTCCATTACCGTTGTCAGCTGCTCTGGCCCCGCTGCCACCACTAGAGAAAAACACACACACACACATTGTTGATGTTAACAGTTAATACACTGACTCACTCTTCCCACCTGGTCTTACCAGAAGGGAAAAAAACATGACCTGTAATTTAAAGGCCCTGAGGCTGGAAATATTTCTCGAATGTATAGCTTAATAAGTAGTTCACCCACTGTCTACATATTACACTGTAATTGTCTGTGAATCAGGGTTGTTTTTATTGCAATATTTTAAACTTTGACACAATACTAGTAAATCAATTGATATCAATACGTTGTTGATACCATGGAAACAAAAAAAAAAAACAATTGCTAGGCACCCAATACAGGGACATTTATTTATTTATTTTTAATTACAGGCAAACTCATGCACACGATCTACATTTCAAAAATACATTGGCAAATGTATTCATGCAGTTTGGAAAGTGCCACCTCGTCCACCATCTGTCTGTAACTTTTGCTTCTTTGCTTTCTGCTTTTTTTTTTTTTTTTTTTTTTTAAGATTTATTTCTGGGCTTTTGTGCCTTATTGGAGAGATAGGGACAGTGGATAGAGTTGGAAATCAGGGAGAGAGAGAGTGGGGATAGGCATGCGGGCAAGGAGCCACAGGTTGAATTTGAACCTGGGGCCGCCTTGGAGGACTACAGCCTCCATACATGGGACTCAAGCACTACCCACTGCGCCGCCAGCACCCCAACTTTCACTTCTTTATGAGACACCAAAAGGACGTGAGAAACGTCAGGATTTGCTAACCTGTGAATATGAATGGACTACGTTGCGCTCTCTCTCTCGTGGCAGCTCCAGGTTAAAAATATGACTGAGGATCTGTAGTTTCTGGACTTTTCTACACTATTGACCATTAAAATAATGGAGATTGTATCATTTAAAGATCCGAGATATTGAAAAGTATTGAATGTGAATACTGTGAACACACAAATATTATTACCTGCCGTTCTCCCTCGGTTCCCACAGTGGAGTGAGGTAGTATCTCAGAGGGTCTCTGAACAGGTCGTCCTTTAGAATCTAAACACAAGCACAGAGGTCATTTCAACATATTTCAAATAAGAAGTTGAATACATCACACACAGTCCAGCTAACAACGGGCCGAGTAGAATGAAGAACTTATTAATGAAGGCAAAGATATGAGTGCTGATAAATCTTTAAATCAAATGAGACAATTATAAACCAACAGAGAGCAAAATAACTGAAGAAGACATTACATTTTGTTAAACATTGCTGTTAAATCCTGTTTCAAAACACATGTGACACATAGTGATAGCAAGAAATGTTTCAAGTAGGATAACATTTTACTAAAGTTTCAGTCACTGATATTTGCTGCAGGTTGGCCGGTTTTATGGTTGCAATAAATCCCCAAAGATGGGGGTTTTTAGAGCATGCTTGACTGAGCATTTCTTTGTGCTCCTCTTTATAATCCTGAGATGTTTTGCGTGTGCAACGGTGCAGTTAGCTGTACCTGTGCTACATCATCTTGTCCTGGGTTGCTATGGTCACCGAACCAGCTGAAAAAGGTCTGGTAAACACCGTGTGACGACTTCCTGGGTTCACTGTGGGCCGTCAGGTTGTGTCCACGATGCCAGAGGATGGGGTTGGAGAAGGACATGGGAGATCCTGCAAACAAGAGCCGCCAGGGTCAGAAGGTGAACAAGAACTTTTAAACACATGCAACGGAACTTCAATGCTCAATCAGTTGTTAATCTCTGGACGTCATGTAGTGTCAGAAAGAACTCGATTGACGTTAACTGTTTGATGTTAACAAACATGTATTTTTCTAATTTACACGTTATGCAACCGATCAACTGCAATAATTATTTTTTTGTAAATATTTGATTACAACTGTCTGTTATTTGGGTGGAGTGAAATCATGCATCCATTTGGACACACAGAGGGAACAACCGTAGCATTATCATGACTTTATCGTTGCATAAACTGCACGGCTGCCGTGTTTGCTCACTGTGGGTGTGAAGTTGATAAGCTTATGGAACTGTGTTCTGTTTTCTGGCTTTGCACTCGTCACTTTCAGACAATGTGTTCCTGTTTGTCTCCAAATGAATATTGAATATTTAAATTTCTTGCCAATGTTATGTAAACAACAAAAAAAACAATATTTATTTTGTCTTGTAAACAATTGTGGGGTACCAGTAAACAACAAATATTTGAATTCTTTGTCTAGAAGACAAGCCATGTTTATGTTTTACCTCCCATCCCAAGGTGAAGCTCCTTCATGATGATGTTGTTCTGGAAGTATGGGTTTCGTCTGAAGTGGAAGCGGATCCTGTAGCCGAGTTTGTTATTCTTGAACGACTCAATCTGAAAAAAACAAAATGAGTAAATGTCTCGCTGCAGGGGGAAAACACAATGGAAGGCCAGGCATGGAAAGAAGACACCAACACTTTCTACCTCGAGATCCGTCATGTAGCTGAGAGCATCTTCATCAGTCTCATCAATGTGCGCCGAAAGATGTGGATGGTTCAACAGCTGTGGCGCATCAGGGGGGTTAAGAAAAAAACAAAACATGTTTGGTTCAATAAGTCGACACAACATAAGAATGGAGAAAAGACATGGGGATTTGTTTTTTTTTTAGTTTTCGTTTTAAGGATACAGCCGTCACCCAGAAGCCAGGGATGGTTTTCATGATGGAGCTGCGCTGATCCAACTGCGGACGCCGCTGACGACTGATCTTCAACTCCAGCTTTTGGTGAAGCCGGGCGCCCTTTTTCTCAAGAGCCTCCAGCCTCATCTGCACCTGCGCCAGGAGGGCCACAGACTGCCTCATCTCCGGGGCCATCTTCACCGACACGATGGCACACTCCCCGTCGTCATTGTCCTCATTGTCTGACGGGAAAGAGGAGCTCGGGGTGGAGGAAGAACCCGATATCGATTCGTCGCCTTCCTCCGCTTCTTGCATATCGTCCGCATCTTCTCGGTCAGTACTGTGCACGGATGTGGAGCTGTCCGCAGCAGCCGCCTGTGTCCTAGAGCCCACTCTTGAGGACTGGTGGGCCCCGCGTTGTTTGAATTTGCTCCCCTGTTTCGCCGGCTTAACCTTCTCGGATGAGCAAGGGGTCTCTCGACTGTCCTCTCCGTCTCCTCCCGTGAGACTAGCGAGTGCTTCGGCGGCTGCTATGGCTGCTGAGTCGGTTTGCTCCAGAGGAATTGAGGACTTGGACGCCTCTGTCTTGGCTGCGTTTTTCTTTCCACCAGCAGACCCCGGTGCGTCTGACGACTCCGGCTTTTCTGAGTTGCTGGCACCCGTGCTGGAGTTGTTGACAGGCAGTGAACTGAACTCTGAACTCTGCTCCCTCTGCACGGCGGCGGCTGACTCCTTCTCCCTCTCTTTCGACTGGCTTCCAGCTGTTTCTTTACTCTCAGCTTCACTGTTTTTGCAAGTTTCCGAACTCACCCGCGCCGCCTCCGGTGCGTCACTTACTTTCGCCGACTTGCTGGGAATCGCGCTGCCTTCATCCTGCTCGGGCGACGGACACCGTTTCCTCGACGCAGAGTCAGCGGACTGTGTGCAGCCCGTCAGTTCGCTCATGCTACCGCTAGCTAGCCGAAGAGGCTCACACACGGCTAGGCGAGCCTGCAAACTCAAAAACAAAACAAAAAATCAAAACTCAAATGCAATCGATTAATCCACCGAACGAGCCACTTCAGTTAACCGGTTCCTGAATGTGTTACTCGGGTCGTGATGTAACCTACATTCTCGGATTGAAGCCAGAACAGGAAGCAGCTCTCTCTCTTGTATTTCTCCGCGGCCTTTCGGTTAGCAGGCTGTCGCTAACGTTGGTTAGCTCGCGTTACCTAACGTGTGCCTCTCTCTGCGGTGACGGCCGCCCCACATGTCCGCGGAGAAAAGTCCGGGCGAGAGAACGATTCGGTCCGAACAGTCGAACCGTTCCGTGCTGCGCGGCCTTTTTTTTTCCGGCAACAGTCGGCGTTCTTTTATTTTAAGTTTTAACTTTGCATTATCCGTTAGCTTACCATCCGTGCGCACGACGTGACAGAAAAACAATCCTCTGATTGGCTACGGCAACGCCGCGCTAAAATCTCTCCGCCAATCACCGACAAGGGTGTGTTTTACTCGGTAATCTTGTCAGTAGCAAGTGGTTTTAACTGCGCAGGCGAGCAAGTGCAGCAGTTTAAAAGGTTGTCACGAAACAGTCTAAAGCCAATAATGACCGAATGTCTTAACGTAAGATACCAAATTATATATAAAGCCGGGATGGGGGCAACTTTGGTCACAGCAAGGGGCCCACATTCATTTAATTCTCACTGCCAGAGGGGCCAAATTGTAGAATACAAAAACAGTTTCAGTCATTATGTCTCAAATTTAACTCAACATGCCAGTGATCAAATATTATTATGGACATATTTCTGGTTTTCATGATTTCATGGCAGATTTTGTCATGTTTTTCTTCATGTTTCCAATTAATTGATGTGTAAAAATTTACCTAAGGGCCACGTTGAGGGTTGATGGGGGCCGCCAGTTGCCCAACCCTGATATATAGCATTAACAATAACAATAACTCTTTCCAGTGTAGATACTGTGTAATTTTCCATTATTGTATTTTTTTATTTAACTGATGTAAATATGTTTGATTTTTAACTTGTATTTTTATTTTTTGATAATTATATTCCCATCCCCTGTTTTCTTGAGTTGCTGTAATGCAATTAATATAGTTTATCTTTATCTTTACTTTACACTGTTTACATTACTCTATATTTTATATTTTGTACATTCAAATAATTCTTTTTTTATTTTTTACATTATATTTATTTTACTGTATATATGTGTATTAGTAATTTGAGTGTTTATTGCATGGTCTTGCGGAACAGTCCTTACATTTCACCACACATCTGTATGAGCATGTGACAAATAAAAATCTTGATTCTTGAATCTTGAATCTTTATTATCTCACCTGTAATAAGTAGGCGTAAAAAAAAAAATCAACAGAAAGTGATTTACCTAGAACAATACATTTCACATATTGTCTGTGCTTATACTGTATATGCTCCTTGTCTGTGCATGGTGCTTTTGTCTGTGTTTAAATGCTCATGTATTTAAATGTGCTATATGTTACACATTTTTATTTTATGTCTGTGTGCTTGGACACTGGACGTTGAAACCCCCTCCCGTTTGCCACCAAGAACTCTGGACTAATAACTCTGAAGCTAACTATTCAAAAGTACACTCAGTTTACTGCACATTGCACAAGTTTAATTTTTCTTTAAATTGTATTTTATTTTATTTACCATTTTGTACCTTTTGCACAATTTAGAATGTATTACTGTAAATATTATTTATCTTATTTTACCTCATTTTATTTTATCTATTTTACCTTATCTTATTTTACCTTATTTTGGTTGTATTGCACCGTGGGACAGAGACAAACGCAATTTCGATTCCACTGTATGTCTGGCACATTTTGAAATTGACAATAAAGTTGACTTTGACTTTGACTTTGACTGCTTTATCAATTGCTTCCATGCGTATGTGTTATGTTTTAACTAACACCTGTGTTGTTTTATTTGTTATGCTTATGTGTTCTTGTGTCTATATTTTTGTGCTGCATTTTCCTGTATGCTTTTTAATGTTTTCTTAAATGTCATCAACCTGCCAGGGACTGCAGATGAAAATGAGCCTGCATGGCTAAATCTGGCACATTTACATGTGTGACTTCGTTGCTCTTGTTAATTAATGTGCGTTGTCGTCCCTTTAAATAAAGAAATCAAATCAAAATATGGATCAGAATCAGTGTTTGTTGACAAGGCCTACACAAGGATCAATAACTTAAGAGTCTAGCCACATGTAAACAAGGATTTCGGACTTATTCATTTAAACACTTGCCTAAGTTAGATGGCAGCAGGAGTGTTTTATTCTTAGCATAAAATTAATGAAAACAACCATAGTTTACTAATCAGGTCTAAAGTGTCATTATTTTTTTCCACTATATGACAACTTTTTCCTAATGCTTTAAAAAGTTTGCATAAATAGAGATTTAAACGTATCAATACCAACACCTATTTCTGTCCATGGCATGAATACAAAATGTGAAGCCTTTGGGCAAAGACGTCAAGCTGAGGTGATATGACAATTTCTGTGGCAATGATTAGGCTCTTCAAAACAAATCTATAGGCTATGTTTAGCTGGAGATTGCATTAGGGATCTTTAGCCCCTCAATGCCCTTCAAGAGGGGCAGAACTGATATAGCCTACTGCATGGGACCCTTCCTGCGGAGTTGCATATCTTGCCCATAAAAATGACAAAAGTGCTCATTACACTTCAAGATGAGTAAAAGAAGGATATCGTTATGCCCATCTGTTTCCTTTTGAAGACAGAAATAGGATAAAGTGTCTTCTAAGGCGTGCCTCTTATGTGCCACTGGGGGTAAAGCAAGGTTACAAGCCCTAAATGTTAACCCCCCCCCCCCCCTGAATTGAGAAAATATGATAGAGTGCAAATGTAACAGTGTGACCTCCAGGGTGACCTTCCCACTAAGAGTGTAAACATGACATACTGCCCTCTAGGTGTCATTCCTGCAGAGAGATCCACGATAAGGGGGACCCCACCTCAGCAGCATGATGTCTTTTAAAAAAAAAATATATATTTAGCCCCTGTCACTTGACTGACATCTTAATTCTACCACTGGGCGTATACAAGTGATATTAACAATCATATATTCACGATGTGTTCAGGTGATAAGCTGTAGTCTAATTGTAATATTGCTTAAATATAAAGCCTATATTCAAAAGCTGGTTTGTTGAAGTCTACATTCCACAGCAATAAGGCTAAATTAATGACCTGAATTTTAGGTTATTTGGTAATTTCAAACACGGAAATGGTGTTGAATTACGGTGGACCGTGCAGTAGCCTAATCATCCAACTGATGACGTTTGCGGTAGTTGTATCCAAGATAATTTCCTGTATCTATTTACAAATCTCTGACCCTCTGGTCAGCCTGGTTTTTGGCTTTAACATCCTGTTTCCAGTAGTGGGTGTTTAGGCAGCCCGAACCAAAACGGAACAAGGGGGAGTCGCAGGATTATACCAACCTACATGACAAATTCGGAGCATGGAGAGCCCGGTAGGTCAGAGCTAAAATTAGCCTCTGCTCCTTTCACTGCTGCAGCCGAACTGCGATGCTTTAGAGCATGTAAACCAGGGGGATACACTATCACAAGGGGCTGGCAGTAAAGACATGTTTTCCATGGGTGACATTTAACGCCACACGTTTACTGGGGAGGCTCTGTGCGTAACGCAGGGGCAGCGCTGGATCCACACTGGCTGCTGCTGCGCAAAACATCAGTATTTGGTAGTTTTTTGTTTTTTTTTAGGAGACCGCCATATGTGCTCTGTTCAGCGCACATATTCCATGTGTGATTCAAAAATGTCTTTTTTAACCATACCGAACCAAGAGGGAATTTTTACTACGATTAAAACGGGAAGGTCAGCAGAGGCGGCAGAAAGTAGGTCCCACATAGACAACGTGGTTAACAATGTTGAGGATGAGGATGATGATGAAGACGACTACGCCGAGAATGTCCGTCTCATCCCGAGGTGCTCCCCGGTGCCCAGAAAACGAGGCGCATCCATCCACGACGAGACAGCCGAGTACATGCGGATCCACTTGACGCTGTCTGCAGGTAAACGAGTGTCGTTCGCGGACACAACAGGTGGGGACCTGGTGGACCTGAAGGAATTTGTTGCCTTTGATTCGGATGATGAAGAGGATAGTGTAAGGTGGGAGGAAGAGGAGGCGAAGTATCGAAAGCCGTGGAGAGAACCAAGCTATTCTGTGCACCCAGAGTTTAACGCGCCAGCCGACAGTGCCCTGCTGCAGGCTGTGCACACTAAGAAAGTGGAGGTTGAGCAGATGTCTCCAGTGGAGGATGAGCCACTTGCCTTCAGTGGGGTAATACGTGTCCTGAACATCTCCTTCCACAAAGCAGTTTACATCCGATCAACCCTGGACAACTGGGCTACTTACTTTGATCATCCAGCAGAGTATGTCCAGGGATCCAATGATGGGGACACTGATCAGTTCTCCTTCAAGCTGTCTTTTGCACCACCTTACATCACACACGGCTCTCGCATCGAATTTGTCGTTCGCTATGAAACCTCTGAAGGGGACTTCTGGGCTAATAACTCCTCTATGAATTATGTGGTGACTCTGCTCTTGTCTATGAAGAGGATTCAGCGGACACAAACAGAGACATGCAACACATAAGGGGTATCCTGAAATCTCCAAAAGCTTACAGGTAAATCACCTGAAACATGTGTTTTTAAATGTCAAATAAAGGAGAATATGATTAAACATCTTATTCCCTGCCCACTAGACATTCCTTAAAACTCTTATCTGTGATCGACCTCCCCACTGTTGAATACATGGTGGAACATCAGGTTGTCCTACCTTCTAACCAAAACCAACATTAATAGAGTTGTTCTGATATCAATACCAAGAAATGACTTCAACAGAGTCTGAATTGTGGTATCGTGTGTCGGCAAAGTCAATGCGCTATTACAATACCATTGAGGCTATTAGCCCCCCCCCTAAAACTTTGTCCCTTCTTCTCTAAAACAGTAACTTACACATATTAAAGCTGCCATTATCAACTCCTGTTTGGAGTGGAAAAGAAGATCAATTTCTCAAATCATCATTTGACATCGGCGAACAGCGACAGTGCTTTTGTGAAACAGAGTTCAAGCTAACAAAACGTCAACATCTTGTTCTTCCATTGCACATTTTAAAGCGTCGTTTTGTGAGTAGAAAAAGGTTAGAATTCAATACAAAGATTTCTTTAACACTCTCTAGGAGTCTGATTAGAAGTCAGAAAGAGGGCGCAACTTGGCTTGTTTCTGGCTATTGTTCTTGTTCTTTGGAAATGTGTACTGAGCCAGGACAAACAACAATAGCAATCAAATCACACCCATAGTAAATAGAAAGCAGTCACACCAGTGTCTTAAGTTTGTCTTTATCTGACAGTTCTTAAGACTGGGTTTCAGACTTGGTATCATAAGCAAAGAAAAATGGTATCAGAGCTCAACGCAGAATCATTTCTGCATCATAAAACCCTCAGACCCTCCATATAGGCCATCAAACCATAAAGAAAATACGGTATAAAAGACACAAAAGCAAAAGACATTGGGCTTGTGCAACAGCTGCAGTTCCTTTTAAGGTTGTGTAATGGGCGGTTCAACTTTATTCAGTCACTGTGCCTGGTTACTGCTGTAGCATATAAGAACTCAAGTCAAGCAGGATGTTAGCAAACATGTTGCATAATGACAGCAGAAGTGTGAGCTACCAAAGTAATGTTCATACAGATTGTCAGGTTTTCCTCTGCGCACTCTGCTGTCTTCTCTTTACTCTGTCAAAGGAGATAGAGAGAGTTGTTGCGAGCACACACCCCCTTCAGAATGCCAATCATCCAGTGGTGTTTGAAGGCGATCAAAATAGGCAAAGGGCAGGTGTCATTTTCAGGCCTGACGTTTCCCCTGCATAAGGTTTACCTCTGACCTTTTCTATCAGAGTCATGAGGGAGCGGAGCCATTTCAATGGGAAATTTGGCCCCTTTCCATAGTGTAGTTAGCAACACACAAACCACCCTCTCCTCTTTCTGTACTCCCTTAGACTTAACTAATCCCAGAGAGAAAGATTTAAGAAAGCAAGAAAGATCCCCAGAGATACTGAGGAATCACAAAAGTAACAAACACAGTGATAAACCTGTCAAATGTATTGCTGTTTGGAAACAGGATGGGGTAAGACGGGCGGAGGAGTCACTGACAGAAAAAGAGAAGCTTGGAGAGAGTTATTAACATGGAAACCAGTATCAGAGATTCATGGGGTACCTCTAAGTTCACTCATTATTTGATGTTAGCATGATAACAAGGCAGACGGGGTCAGGAAAAGGTTACTCTAAAACAAGTCTTAGTGGATAGAATATATTACTTTGGTTTAATTTAGACACACAGCAGGTTCATTTTCTTATTGAGGAGCTGGTTTAGTTCATGTTGAGACCAGAGCAGAAAATATGATTTTTGTTGTTTTCATTCTAAGTTATGAGGTTGCTGATGTAAGCCTCATTCACTTCTTTACATGAACAGGGTGACTCAACCATGTTCTTACCTCTAGACTAGAACCCTTTTCACACATACGGAAATCTCCTGAAAAACTCCGGAGGTTTTGCGTGAATGCAAACAGCCGCATTTTTCGCGCAGACTTTACCCGGAGTTAAACCCGGCCAGACCCCTAGTATTTTATCCGCAGAATGACTGGCTAAAGTGTCTGCACGCGACCACTACGATCTCCGTGCACGTAATTAAACGGCTGCATTCTGTTTTCTGTTCGTTAGTATGTTGTTCTCCTCTCTTTTGTGGATGTTGTCATTCCATTGGATTACACATAGCATTGATATAAAGGCAAATATTCTCATTATAACGTTGTGTAGCGGACTCTGTTGCTTCGGCTGCTACATCCACGTTGTTTATTTACGTCACATCTTACGTCGAGAAATCCCCCGCGTGCCCTCCCATCTGACAGGGAAAGTCCCCCGCTGTGAGGAGCATATGTGAATGGCTAGGTCGGGAGAATCTCCGGAGAAGTCCTCCTGTAAATATCTAGATATTATCCGGAGTGCATATGTGAAAACGGCTTAGGTTTGATTAAGGCTACTGTAACAAAATTAGCTACGTTAACCATCTAAATCGGTCTTCATTTGTTTAGCCTACATAGAAAACAGCTAACACAACTTAACCATTGTCTTGCTAACGGTATATTTTGAAAGTACAACAACCATAGGAAGAACATAAACTAACCCTAAAACAACAAAACGCTTAACATCTTTCTTGGACACATTTATAAAGTAAAAGTAAAGTAAACTGAACCTTTCCAGTTAGATTTTGTACCACAACCAGCCAGTAAATTTAGCTTGCTAACAGCAATGTTAGTGCTGTTAGCTTGGAAAGGTTGCTAACATTAGCTGTTGCTTTAGCTAATGGGTTTTGAATGTTTTCTTTGTTTCTATATGACCTGAAATCTTACCCAATTTTTAAATTCTATTTTTGTAAAGTTGCTGAACAATTCGACGCATGTCCTACAGTTAACTTGAAATCTAGAGCCCAACAGTGCCATACTTTAACATTTGAGCTTCTCACCCTGGGAATGAAAATGGTCGTTATGTGAACATGGTGAAATATTGTTTACTGAGTTTGCAGCCACTTGGTGACTTTAAATCTGTAACCCAAATGCTAATTCGAAGATTTTTTGACAGATCTCTTTCAGATTTAAAATGTCGCTGTTGATATTAATGTAAAGGTAACAAGCAGAAGGAGTATGACCATCTCTTCAGGTTATTTCCACTCTATTTGTGTAGCTCCTGTCACATGCTCTTTATACCTCTTGACCTGTATTTCATTTGGCATCCTTTGCGGAGCTCTTGGCAATGTTGCATCTCCATCCTTTTTCAACAGGAGTGCCCCCTTACAGATAATATATCTGCTTTATTATTTTGGAGATGAGTTTTCAAGGAGATGGATTAAATGCCATTGGGGATATTCTAGAAATGATTTCATCCTAGATATCCAATTTCTCCTCTTAATTAATGTCATTCTTATGTTTGATACATCACCTTCAATAAATAGACCTGACTGCTGCCAGCTTTTATTGTGCTTGCTCTTTTGAGTGACCCTTACCCTCAGTCAACAGTTTTCTCATTCAGCAATTTCCCACCTCGCTGTCTATTTTAACAAACAGTATAATGAGATGGGTCATCGCTGTGGCCTGTGGCTATGAAACTCTCTGCTCATCTGGTTTGGCAGCTCATAAACAGAACTTCTAAACAGAACAGAAGTGTGCTCCAGAAGATACAGAGCCATGTTTAGTTAAAATGGCTAATTAAGCTCATTAAAGCTGGACAACATCAGTACAAATATGGAATACTTTATTGTCATTGCACAAATGTGTAACGAAATGTGCCTCATCTCTCAGTTAGCCTTATTTATGCGTTAGCTTTTATTGTAACAGTCATCCTCAGGGCCTAAGTTGATGTCTCCTTCCCCTGGTGCGTTATTCAGATGTTTATGGATTAAGAGGAGTCTTTAGCACAAAAGTTTATGACTGACTGCAGTAGCACAAATTGACAATATCTTGCCTTGCTGGCCTCATATTTTACCAATAATCTAAAACCATCTTGATTCTTAAGAACTTTATGTGTGTGCGGTCCCTTATCAGAAAACCTGGAGACATTCTGCATTGTTTTAAGGAGTGTTCTTTGAAACAGTGTGATTTGTTTTTAAATTCTTTTAACCCATATGTCTTCTTTTCTTTCAGTATGGATGATGTCTTTGATGCAGAAGATGAGCAGGAAAAGAAAGAAGGTACAGTTTGAAGGATTTTTTCTGGGGGGGCGGGGAGATAATTATTTTTGATTTATCACCTGAAAAAATGAAGACAGAAATGATAAACATGAAAATAGTGTTGAATAATTTATAGTCACATTGTGAAGGATGTAGAGTTCTTCCATTAATGCAGAGTCCTGTAAATAGTAGGAAAAAGAACAGTAAAACTTCATGCACCAGAGGTACGCTGACCTTAACATTAAGAGCCAGCTCTGTGACTTCATTTTGATTATTTGTTTCAAATTTAAGAAGGTTCAATGCTATCCTCAAAAAATAATAAACTAATGTTTTCATAGCTTGAGTTTCCCTTTAATAGGCCAAATACTGTAGAAAAAAGAACTGAACAAACAAGTTTATTGCTTTTAGTCTAATCAGACTAATCGGGCTCTCACAGTATTATTGTTTATTTGACATCAGCAGAAGATGCAGGGACCTCCACGTGTGGATCTGACAGACCTACAGCTGTCTGCCCAATCATAGTACAGCCGGAGATCGACATTGAGGTAAGTGTAAAATAATAATAAAACAAAGAAACCGCTATTAATTATATCAACTCTTCACCAACAGGAGGGCTCGTCTGGTTTATATTCCTTATAAACTTTCTCTAACCTACAAAAGTCACACTGACTTGAAACATTCTGACTGTAACTTTTTGATGATGTTCAAATGATCTTGATTTGCATGCAGTTGTTGACACATTTCCCATGAACAGGTAAGCAGGAGAAGTGCTATATTTATGCGAGTTATGTGTCTAATAAAACATAACAAACATTTGTATTCTACTAGTAAAGCTTATCATCACTGGCTTGGTTGTTTGTATTGTTCACAGCTCATTGAAGCTTCAGCATCAACCTAGGTAATGTCTTATTTCTTCTCGTTGTAGCACGAGCACTGTATGCCAGCTTCTTATTGTTTACATGATGCATGCAGTCTATGTTTTGCACCTTTTGATGTTGTCCAGTTCAATGTAATTCATGTCTCATACCGTCTCTGTTGACAGTGTTGTGATTATGATCACCTCCATAATGCGCAGAACGCTGGTTCTGAAACTACTGATTCAGTTGAGGAGATGCAAAAGCATAGACTGTAAATATTAATGGACGAAGCCTGAGTGACGTCACCCATCTGTTACTGCAGGGGGCTTTGGAGTCCCGCTGGTGGCGGTTGCCTTGCTGGAAATGCTGTCTCACCATAACTTTCAGTCAACCTGAGGAGCTGAGGCGGGTTTTAAACCTCTTGACAAACCATTACATCACGCCCACCTTTCAATCAGGTCAGCTACGGGCTTTATTGTGAATAACACTTATTCTTCATAACACCAAAAATGGATCAGTTACCAAAAAATGCACCCCCAGCTGATCGAGACATGGGCTAATCAGAGCGAACTTTGGGTTTTTTGAACCAGGCTCCAAACATGTTCATTTCTGCTGTAAAAACTGGCTTTATTGAATGGGTGTTGTATGTGACTTTTGGAGCTTCTGCAGCCAGCCTCAAGCAAGCCACTTGGCAAACTGCAGGATTTTGCACACCTGCATCTGCTTAATTTTGCAACACCGGAGCTAGCTGCTTGTTCAAAACACACTCATATCTGTGTGCCAAATATGAGACTCGAGCTATGAAACAGTTGGCTTAGTGCAATGATTGAACACAGGACAGCAAGCCTGGCTCTTATACCTTGAGGCAACCTCCAGTCTTGGAAAAAGGAAGCCAATGCGGAAGTGAATACAAGTGCAGTTCCTTGAGGGTCCACTTGAGGCTGGCTCCAAAAACAACGACAGTCACATACACACACCCGTTCAAAAATGCTCATTGTGACAGCAGCAATAAACATGTTCACAGACCTGGTACAAAAAGCATATTTTGCATATTCTGAATTGTTCTTTATTGGCACACTTCTGGGTTGGGGTTGGGGTGTGGGGGATAAGAGTTATGCATTATTTGAGGTGTGACTGATATGACTGCAAGCAGGTGCTTTGTAGCTGTTTGCCAGGAGGCTTAGCACACGCCTCTTTGCCTGTTGTTAGGTTGACTGAAGGTAAGGGTGCTAATTCAAAGATTCTTGTTGATGTTCTGCATTACCCCCCCTGTTATTTGTGTCTTGCTCTTGCACACTTTCCTCCGAGTGTTGTATCTGTCTTTTTTTTTTCTTGTTTTTTTTGTTTTGATATGATGTCAATTTGACCTGAGATTTCTCCAGATATCTATTTTTATTTTCAATACAATGAAGTGGAAATTAAAATAGGGTTCTTTTAGGACAGCAATACTTCCATTCCCTGGCATACAAAGGAATAACAATCACTACATGGTGCAGTATGTGGAAATATGTAAATGTGAAGATAAAATAATTATTTAAAACATTTAATTTCTTCGTCCTTTGGATGTGTTCTGAATGCAGATTTGGACTCTGTATCATGACACAATTTAGCACTAATAAAAAAAGCAAGTTGAAGCATTAAAATGTGCATTTTTGCCAACAATTCTGAAAGAAGTTGTGAGTCATCCCCTTTCATTCTGTTCCTTTTTTGTTTGCATTTTCCTCACAATTACAGTTTCAGCATGGGATCCAACTCACAGAAAAAGCATCAGTATGCAGCAAAATGCTTTTCTTCTCTGTGTGCAATTTTAGAATAGAATACAAATCTCTGCACTTTGTCTTTATACTCTCCTCGCTGTCACTGTTGTCTTACTGTTTCACTTCAACAGATTGCAGTTCACCCATCTGGTCCCTCTGTCCCACCCAACCAGGAGCTTCCATCTGTCGATGGCACACTGTCCGCTCACTCTGTATCCCCAGGTGAACAATTCCCCTGTACGTCTTCCGAAACCACGCTTCAAACTAATTCATCCTTTGTACTCTATGCCAGCGAATCAGTACGGCCAAATAAGTCACAGCCTTTACACGGACTCAAGTGCGAATTAGGCGAAGAAACGTCAGAGCAGCAAAGTGTTCCCTCTGCTCAGCTGCCCTCTCCACAACAAGAGTCAGGGCCAAGATCAGACAGCTCCCAGGAAGGCAAAGAGGAAATCCCCCATCAGAGGCCTCATGTTTGCAACCTCCAACTGCAGAGATGAGGCTGACAACAGGAGAGGACAGGTGGAACAACAGCCCAGAAAGTCGTGCTGGCCTTGAGCTCTGTGCTGAATGTGTCTCTCCTTTTGAGCGAGAGGTTGCAGTGGGATTGAGTGAACTTGTTGCAGGAACATCAGACGGTTCCAGCTGGTCCACCTCGCATCATGAAGTCTGTACACCTGCACTTTACTCTGCTGTGGCAGAGACTCGGGCATGTCTGGGAGCAGAAGGTGGAGCTCCACCACCACCTGAACTCAGAGAGAACCCCTCAGTGAGTGCAGGTGTCACTGAGGTGAGCCAAAACTCAGCTCTTCAGTCAGTCTCTGCCTGGGAAGAGAAGGAAGATACAACCGAGATTTCCCCTGACACATTATTAGAGGATCCACCAAACACGCTGTCAGAGGTCTTCAAGCAGCAGACTGAGTTTGACGTTAACACAATTCTGATGCCATCCATCGTCTTTTTAAGTGGAGTTGTCTCTCTTTTGATAGTGTTGCAGGAACCCAGCGCCCTCCTCGTCTTTGGACTATTTTTGGTCTTGTACCGTTTGTGAAAATACCACAGTTCACTCACTCAGAGATCTCCTCTCCAGTTAAGTGCCTTTTCATGATGCCAAAATAAGCGAAAAATTAAAAAAAGAATCGCAAGTTTACTGTTAAAGTCGTGTGTCAGTGTGTGCGTTGTCATCCAATAAACAATGATGGGTACAGTTAAGAGTCGATGCGAAGTCCAAAGCACTGACAAAGACATTAAATATTTTCACTGATTCTGTCTCAGATGTGTAAAAAGAAACAAAATAGAAGTGAATAATTTCACCATTTCCACCACAGCATTATGAATAAGAACTGGGATGTCTTGTAAGTGGTTTGTTATGACTTTTTTTTTTTGTCGTGTGGAGATGTGTGTAATATTGTGGTGTATCTCATCACTTGCTTTTGTTTTAATTTTTGTTGGTTTTGTATCGTTGTTTTTTCCTTGTAGGTGAGGTCGCTGTCTATGACCACACTGCCGTGATTTTGACGGTTGTGAATTCCATGTGTTTTTATGTCTTTAATCATGGACAAAAAAAACATTGCCATAAAGAGACGTATTACACAAAAGAAGTGTTGTTTACAAAATGCAAAAAAGGAAAAGAAGTATTTTGCCTTAATGCCTAAAAGGAAGAAAACTGGACGAGGTATAGGCCTACTAAACATCAGTATGAAACAGCTGCTGCCTGAGGGTGGACAAAAGTGGAACGTGTGACATTTTAAAGAGATCATTAAACAACACCAGCATTCTCACTTTTGCACATAATATATCACATACAAATCACCATATTGACACAGAAGCCATTTTCCCGTGACATAAGCTCAGAATAGGAAGGAGGAGGGATAATACTGCTGTTTAAGTAATTTACAATTTAAAAGGTCTGACAATCATAATTTATTGACTTAATGAAAAGACGAAACCCACGAAAATTCAGAGAAAACTAGACCACATCAAGCTATCAGACGCCAGCTAATGTTAGCAGTCAGACTGTTTCTATCTAATATTACAGATAAATAGTTGAGCGCTCAGTGCTCACATAGTTTGTGAAAGTATAGTCCAATATAATGGAAGGGTGTAAACACACAGGAACATGTTTGATGACCTATTGTCTACAGTTTGACAATATAGCCAGTGTTAGCATTTAGCCACTTCCGAGCTAATATTACTGTTAAATAGAAGGTAGATGAGCTAACACTAGCTTTTGTAAGAGTTAAGCCTTGGGTAAGGCATAAACAAATCTCAATAGGATGTATTTGATACCCAAAGGTTGTCTCGTGTAAAACAGCTTATGTTAGCATTAGACCTCTTCTTGCTATCACTACAGTTAGCTAAGAATTCACACCTTCTCTATTGTATCGTGCAAATAATCCAAAGCTAGCGTTAGCTTTTATCTCACTCCTAGCTCATGGTAATTGCTTGGAAGTTGCTGCATGCTAACATTTTCCGTTAGATAATGGGCTATTATGTTGTTTTAACTGGTACCACTCGATGTCCCTCTATCAATCAGGAAATGGTGAAATGAAAGCAATTATTTAGATTCCTTTAGTTCATACAATTTCAAACCCAAAGCCAAAACATGACTGTATCGTATGAGCTTTTGGGCTACCCAACCTGCGCACAATGTCAGAGGAAAATGGCCGCCGTGAGAATCTGGTGAATTGCAAAGTTTTCCTGTTGAATCTTGCACATACGCCCATGCATTTGTAGTTGCACAACATAATATTTCACAGCACTACTTTGCCAACCTCACAGACTGAGGCATCGAATGACATGTTTGAAGTGATGAACGTTTTTTTGCAGTGTATTGCCATTAAAACAGTCTTATACCCTGCACAGCTCTGTGCCTTTGTCGATGTCTCGTTCTTTTTCATCCACTCTGCCAGACTAATGTGTGCATGTCAGCTTCATGCACAGTAATGGCCCTGCAGTGCGGAGAGGAGCATTTTAGAGGGACTGACTGACACACCACAAAAATAACATCAGAGCCTTCAGCGCCTCTGTCTCTGGAGCGCACTCTGCTTTGCTTGAAGTGGAAACGCACAGAGAGCAACCTGAGCTGCAGATAGGAGCCAAAGGTCACGCATTGCACGAAAGTCACTGTGTCAAAACTAGAGTGCATTACACAGTGGCCATTGTGAGCTAATATCAGTGTTTGAGCGCTAACGATTCTAAGTAAACGCCCGGATGCTATGTGACGAGCTGGCACGACTGTTTTCTATAGGCTTATATCTTAATAAACACTTGTTTTTTCTTTTTATCATGAAAGCCTTTAACAGTTTTTTCCCCCTTCTGAATCCAATTACTGTATCTGGTCTTCCATTTTTTAGAGCTTCAAACCCTTCCTCGCATGACAGGTATTTATATGGGATTACATGTTAGGCCTTAAAACAACATTATTAATCAGAGCACACTTGGATTTCAAAGACTTGTGCAAGAAAAAGGGTGGGAGCGATTAATTTGTGTGATGGTCACATAGCTCGAGTGTTGAATGTATTAAAAATTTAAGCAGTCTTAAAACTGACCCAAGGAAGATAATCAGTGGGAATTCTGCAACAGACATTCCCTTTGAACTAATTAATGTCTTTTTTATGTCAAATACACCACAGAAAGCCTGGTTAAGCTGCGGTTTTCAATAGAGGTTGTGTGAGAGTTGTGACATCATTAGTGTCAACAGTAGTTTAAGGAGCTATACTCTTGTCTTTATTTGCTACCACTCTGAGCAGGAGAACAGCTTGATCAAATAGAGATTTTTCATCACAAGAAACATGAAGTGAAGGGTAGCAGCTTTGACTTAAATAACTTATTTGATGGCATGGATGCTTACTTTTTTAATCTGGGTATCTCCATATTTTTATTCACAACTTTAAAAGTGAAATCTTGTCCAAGAGTGACATCTGTTAAGTCCATTCCTCCAGCCAGAAAACTCCTACAAAATCTGTCATAGGGAAACATTTCTTGAAAACAAACCCTTAGAAACATTACATTTTTGTCATTAAAAACATTGATGGACCAAATTGACTTTAAAAAAAAAGAAATGTCCCTATATAACTGTATGACATCAATTAAACACAAAATGCACCGAAATGTATGAGAATGTAACAAGCAATACATTCTATAGAATAGAATAGAATTACTTTATTGATCCCAAACTGGGAAATTGTGGCGTTACAGCAGCAGGTTAGCCAACGCACAATATGAGTAAAAAACACAATGTTAGCCAATCTAAGCATAATATAATATTAAATACAAAGTAAATAAGTACTGAAAATATCAAAACTAAGAATGTGAATATATACAACCAGGATTTAACTAAGCATTACTAGTCTTAAATAGGAAGATTAAATATGAAAGATTAAATGTAAATGTGCAAAAACAGAGTCGTAAATGGTTGTAAATTAAATATGAAAGATTAAATGTAAATGTGCATGCCTTTCAAAACCCATTGAAATTGTCAAAAGATTTGTCAACTTTTTTTTTCTTTGGTGTCTCAACCTGTATGACCAAAATGGAATGAACTTGATATCAAGTGATGTGTTTAATATTAAGCGGATGAAACAACGCCCTCCTGGCTGTAATAAGCTCTGTGAGGATCAACCCCGGTCTCCCCTACTAATACAATGACATGGAAAAACATAAAAGCCAGACAAGGCAAATAGAGGTGCAAGGTAAAGTATAGGTATAATGGTGAGACACCAATGATTTAACGATTTCAAAACACAATATTGATTATGCATACAAGTAGCCAGATGTCGATTTTTCAAATGTTAGAAATGACATACATAAATAAAAGCATGGATAAAAAAACATTATTAAAACACTGTATTCAGGAGGGGATATGTTTGTTCTTATGTTAAATAAAGAGTTGTATTATTTATTTTTGGAAGAGGGTGCCCTATGTTGTTTTTAGAGGACCCAGAATTCCTTGCTGCTGCCCTGTCAGGCTGCTCTTTATTATTTTTTTAGGGGGGTAGGGGCAGAAAAGTCCTGTATAGCTGAGGGTCATGGAGACCTAGGAGGTACACAGTTTGTTTACAGCTGATGAAAACACATGAAGCCAGAGAGAGAGAGAGACAGACAGAGAGAGAGAGAGAGAGAGAGAGAGAGAGAGAGAGAGAGAGACTGCCAGAATAAAATATCACTTTCAAGTTATGGCCTACAATACTGCACAGGTCCGCCTCTCCCCTCCCCTCCCTCTTCTTCTCCCCCTCCCTCCCTCTGACTCTCTCCATCTCTCCGAATAAAACCGACTGATTCCGCGAATGTGCGAGCTGCCTCCTTGCAAGCAGCCATAATTGGGATTATTCAGGAATAATTCGCCTAATCCAGCCGCGTTGGGGTTTTTTCTTTCTCCGCGTTTCCTCTTCTTTTTTTTTTCCTGAATCGTGATTTTCGACAAGCGTCGGCGATGTGAATTTCCTCGTGACATCGCTGGGATTTGGTCAACCCGCCTCAGAAAAGATGCATTTGTTCTTCTGTCATGGAGGCTTTTTTTTTTTTATTGTGGACTATTAAGATGTAGTCCACCTTCGCTGGACAGCAAAACAAAGACTGCATATTAGCAGTTGAGGGTAAATACATCGCCTGCTTTTTTTTTTTTTTTGACTGAAAGATGGGATATAGAGACGTATCGAGGCTGTTGTCTGTGCGGACTAATTGTTCTGATGCCACTAGCCAATATACATGCCAAGACGATTCATTTAGGGGATGCGCGATCTTTTTTCCCTGTCTATCTTTTGTGGGTGGGTTATTATAAGCATTGAAAATCTGACATCATTTGGATTTGTATGTACAAGAACAAGATAAACATATTTTTTTTGATCGCGCCTGTTTCTAGCCTCCTGGAAATCCATCCTCGACGTGATGCAACATAAAATCTGTTTTGTCGGATGATATTCAGACACGGAGCAAAATGAACACATCCCTCGGTATGAAGCTGTAAAAAGGGTGGCAGTGGATATTTTTTTTTTTTTTTTTTTAAATACATGTCTCTTATTATGGCAAAGTCCTCCCCATCCTGGATTTGTTTGATCAGCTGTTGATTATTAGGACGTCGCCTCCACCGTCTTATGTTTATTATATGTTGCTCAAATTTCCTCGCGATGGATTTATGCATAACAGGTGTTGTTTAAGCATGAGGCTTTATTATGTGTTTTCCCCTCGATTTGGCAAGCGGTGAAACAAGGCGATTGGGATCCTTTTTTATTGTTTTTGTCGTGCGAGACGAACTGCTCCCCCCTAAAAAAAAAAAAAAAAAAAAAAGCAGAAAATGAGGCGATGAAAGGTAGGTTATCATCCTCCTCTCTTTTCCTCACACAAACACACACACACACACGCGCAAACACGCACACACACATACACACACACACACACAGCAGAGGTGATTTTGACACCTGTTCATCTGTTTTTTTTTGCACTCCAGCCCATGTTTCAGGCCTAGCTGACATGGCAGCCATCTAATCAGGTGAAATGATATTTGTCAAGGTGGCAGAGGGCTGTTATGTAGGGGAAGAAATAAGGCTACAGTTAGAGCAAATCACATTGTGTTTCATGGCCTACATAGACAAGGCCCACCCATACTAGCACAGTTATGTTTTATCACCACCTTTAAAAAAAAAAAAAGGGGGTTTAGGGAGGGCTTTTATAAAATGGAATTTTCATGTTTTTATTGATCATGTCTTCTTTAAATGAGACTGGTTGTCATTTTCTTTGCTAAGACATCATCCCCTAGACATCTCAGTATGCTTCCTGCTGTGTTAAAAATCACACTTAAATGCTTCTACAAGGCCTGTGGTATAAATCAAATGGCTGCCTGCTCATATTTTTTTTTTACATTTGTTATGTGCAAATCACACCCTCTGCTCCATAACTGACTATCACGCCAATGCAACAAAGCAGCCGAGACAAAGCATAAAATGTTCTTTGCTCATTTACAATATCTCTGTTTGTTGGACATGCCCAGTGTTGGTTGTACTGTGTCTGCTCCATCCCCCCATACACCCCCATGCATTCACTCAAACACCCACACTTGCACAAAGTATGTGAGCTGTTGTATCTTAGCAACGGGCAAGGTAATTACTGAGAGAGCCAAGGAGCTGGCATGCTGTAGAGCTGCTGATCTGATCCCAGCCATAGAGAAACAGGAAGGCTGAGATTTCCACTGTGTTGCCCGACACAGCACTTCTATATCAATGATGTCAAATGTGAGTGTTGTTTCTGTTAGTGTTGCTGCTCTGGAGCTAGCTAGACTGTCAGACATCTTGTTTTTCACTCTTCAAAAATGTGTGTCTCTGTTCGCAGGTGAGGAGGTTGTGGACAAAGAAGAGAGATGAGTCTGTCATGTAGAAAAGATCCTTACGGCCTCGCCTTGTAAAGACGAGAGAGAGCCGTGGGAGACGACGGCTGTAGGAGGATCAGTAGTGTTTATAAAAGGGCCCGAACCAGGCAGGCTCAGGTGGAAGGTGATAGAATGGCTAACCAGACCTTTGCCATCGATGGCCCCGGCAGTTTGTTGGCCGTTCTGGCCTCGCAGAGCGGACTGGCAAGAGGCGGCAGCAGCAGCAGCAGCAGGGATGGCAGCAGCAACAGTGGAGGAATCTCTGCCACAGATGTGTCCGCCTACTTTAAGCTGGTCTTCTTGGGTCTGATCATCTGTGTCAGCCTCGTAGGCAACCTCTTGGTCTCCCTGCTGGTCCTACGAGACAGGACACTTCACAAGGCTCCGTACTTTTTTCTCCTGGACCTGTGCCTGGCCGATGCAGTCCGCTCCGCCGCCTGCTTCCCCTTCGTGCTGGTCTCCGTACACAACAGCTCGGCCTGGACTTACAGCGCCTTGAGCTGTAAA